GATGAAAGGAAACACTTCAGTATGTCTGTTGGTTGCTTGGACGGTGGGGTAGCCTTGTCGTTAAAGCGTTCGCTCGTCACACCGAAGAACCAGGTTCGATTCCATACATGGGTAGAATAGGTGGTGAAGCCTGGTGTCTCCTGCTGTGATATTGCTGGAATATTGTTTTAGAGGCGTAAAACTAATTCATTCACACATTTGTTGCCGAACTCTGTATTCCTCAGTATCTTAAAGACGTGCATATGACGGCGGTCTGTAAATAATGGTTTCTGGACCAGACAACCCAGTGACAGATATCATGAACATCGATACACACTATTGGGGTACGGGGACTTGCAGTCAACATGTCATTGGGCCTAACCACCCAATTCATTAAGTCTCCCCTTACAATGAATATTCGGGACCCAGAAATGTCTATATAAATTAGACGGCGTCTTTACAGTGTCACTGATTTGATATAATAATTATAATCTATCTCATATCAAGTACTTATAATTACAATTTAACACATCTCAAACAACTGTCGGTCAGTTTTCACCCCGCACGAAATCGACACACATGTATCAATTTCAAACATGAAACGACATTGCCTAATATGTTGAAATAGATTGTGACCACGAAACAACCCGACAGTCAGAGTTACAAATGAATCCCGCCCTAATCGGGTGTATCTGTTAAATTAAAGGTCGCTATATATTAGGTGTCGTCGACAGATAGGATGCAATGGACAAGTGTCACATTTTACAAGCCCAACATCAAGACTGGGGGGTGGTCACACGGGTGTAGCGGTTTAAGATAACGGTACAGCAAGGCGGAACCTCCTGCCAGGTCACCAATCAATATTCGCTGTTGACAACATCCTTCTTTTCTTATCACATATCAACAGGATAGAAAATTTTATCTGTTAATACGACACAAGCTATTCTCCTGGATACTTTGCGAATAGGAATTTGAAGAAATCGTTCCAACCAAGGGCAAGGTGAGTATGGATTTTCTTAATCATTTTATTAACTCAGTAAATTACGATTATAACGAATTTAAGGACACCACTAATTTTAGTTCGTTATAACTGTAGTTTTGTTGAACGCATTTTGAATAACATAGACAGCAACTGGCCGGGCAAAGAGTATCATTTCGATATATCCGTCGTTAAAGTGTTCTTTAATAACGTAGTATAGAAGTATATTATTTCGTTTTTGTAGTTTTCTTTTAATGTTCAGGCAAATAACTCGCCATTCAACCAAGATCGATTTAGTAAGTTGGTGTTTTATTTATGGCTATAAATGGCGTCGTATTATACCGTATGCGTCCATGAGAGAGTTTGCAATTTGGCCAAAAACTCTACAAACGTTACCCAATTATTACTAGGCAGAAACATACGCTCTACAAACCGTTCAGGGACGGTTGGGCAGCCTAGTGGTTAAAGCGTTAGCTCGTCACGAAGAAAACCCGGATTCGATTCCGCACATAGTTACAATTTGTGAAGCTCATTTCTGAAGCTCCCCCGCCGTGAAATATTCTGGAATAGTCCTCGAAACGGCTTAAAACCAAACTCACTCATAAACAGCACTAACACCCGCACCAAAACGTCACAACGGAGTAATCAAATGGTGGCTGATTCATTTTCAAACATGAATGTATACTTCCTTTTGATATAAAGTGTATGGACGATATGTAAGAACGTCATAGCAGTCAAGCATTCCCGTATGGTAAATCTAAAGGTGTACTGCACTTCTTGCCATGTATATCATCAGCCTTTGAGGTGAGGTGAGGTGAAATTGGGTTTAACGTCGTGCTTGAGAATATTTCGCTCATATGACGACGTGCATGCGTGTGTATGTGTATGTGGGGCTGCTTGTACTAGCCCAGACTGAAGCTGGTTTTATAGTGCTAGCCCACTGAGATACCATGACGCAGTGAAGCACGAATACCCCACTCAGACACATTATACTGACTCCGAGCCGACCATTCCTTGATGTACCCATTAATGCCGAGCGCCAGGCAGGGACCAACAAGTACCATATTTTAACGTCTTTTGCTATGACGTTAATCGAACCCACGACCTTCCGCTCTCCGGGCGGACGCTCTAACCAGTACACCACGGAGGCGGCCCCAGCCTTTAAGAATAATATATTTTCATTTATTCAGCCACGATTCAATAAAGCTGGATTAGTTCTGCATATGATGTCAAGGTTGTCTTGATATACCCGTACCTAGGCCCAGCGTCTTGATATACCCGTACCTAGGCCCAGCATCATATTCCTTAAGATATCCGTTTCGTAGACAGTGAGCGAGTTTGGTTTTACACCGCACTCAGTAATATTCCAACTATATGGCGGCGGTCTGTATATAATCGAGTCTGGACCAGGCAACCCAGTGATGAACACCATGAACATCGATCTACGCAGTTGGGAACCGATGACATGTGTGAACCAAGTCAGCGAGCCTGACCACCCGATCCCGTTAGTCGCCTCTTACGACAAGCATGGGTAGCTGAAGACCAATTCTAACCTGGATCTTTACGGGTTACAGAAATATTATATACGTTTTGAGATCTTACAGAATCAGTATATCTTGTGTCATAAGATATCAAAACTTACATCGTATGATTATCCTCGACATTATCTTAACATCATGTGGCTGACAAAATGACGCGGTTTTTTTTCTAAGGGGGAGTCGGGGTAGCCTAGTGGTTAAAGCGTTCGCTCGTCACGCCCACCCGGGTTCGATTCCCCACATGGTACAATGTGTGAAGTGCATTTTTAGTGTCGCCCGCCGTGATATTGCTGGAATAAGCGGCGTAAAACTTAACCCACTCACTCACTCATTCTTCTCTAAGGTACGTTGATAGTGATGGTGTAAGGTAACACGTTATCATCGATAGTTTTAGCCAACAGGACACTCCTACCCGTATATGAATTCCTAACACCACGTGAATAACAGTATTATATTACCGATATGTTGTTCACTTAAGTCAAGTCTCTGTCCGTGAGGGAACGCCTCTGACTCCGCTATTTGACAGTCCGTGCATTTCGTGACAAAGCCTCGCCCAGATTAAAAGGCTATTTGATATGGTATTAAGACATCCTATGCATGGGCATGACTTTACGACATATTGTAATGTGCGATAACGGCAGAGTGAACGGAAGTACGCTACTTCGTTACACAGAGTTCCACGAGAAGGTAATTGTGTTAAAACACGTGTGTACTTCATAGCTTTCCTGTCTGGATGTTGGTCGGTCGTTTGTTTCTAGCTTTGTCTGTATGTTGGTTTGTATGTCTGTTTGCTGTCCAAGTCTTTGTTTGTATCGTTGTCTGTGTGTATGTCCGTAAGACTGTTTGTGTTGTCTGTTTGTTGATCGTTCGTTTCTATCCTTGTGTCTGTTTGTTGATCGTTCGTTTCTATCCTTGTTTGTCTGTTTGTTGATCGTTCGTTTCTATCCTTGTTTGTCTGTTTGTTGATCGTTCGTTTCTATCCTTGTGTCTGTTTGTTGATCGTTCGTTTCTATCCTTGTTTGTCTGTTTGTTGATCGTTCGTTTCTATCCTTGTTTGTCTGTTTGTTGATCGTTCGTTTCTATCCTTGTGTCTGTTGATCGTTCGTTTCTATCCTTGTTTGTCTGTTTGTTGATCGTTCGTTTCTATCCTTGTGTCTGTTTGTTGATCGTTCGTTTCTATCCTTGTTTGTCTGTTTGTTGATCGTTCGCTTCTATCCTTGTGTCTGTTTGTTGATCGTTCGTTTCTATCCCTGTTTGTCTGTTTGTTGATCGTTCGTTTCTATCTTTGTTTGTTGATCGTTCGTTTCTATCTTTGTTTGTTGATCGTTCGTTTCTATCTTTGTTTGTTGATCGTTTGTTTCCATCTTTGTTGATCGTTCGTTTCTATCCTTGTTTGTATGTTGGTGAGTGTTCGTCTGTCTGTGTGAGCGTTCGTCGACTAACTGTATCGGTTTCTGCTTGTCTACCCCCTATTTGTGTTATTGAATGTCTGTATATCATTGTCTGTCTGTTTGACGCCTATTCCTTTGTATCTTTGTATGCCTACTGGTCAATGGTCCCATTCAATCCATGCCTGCACGTATGTCTGTCGACTTTTCGTTTCAGTCCACGTGTGCATGTCTGTTAACCGGTAATTAGTCTGTATCTTGTCTGAATGTATGTAAGTCTGCTGGGTAACCTGCTGGCTAGCCTGGTGGTTAAAGCGTTCGCTCGTCGCGTCAAAGACGAGGGTTCGATTCATCACACGGGCACAATGTGTAAGAACTTATGAGGCCCACGAGTGAGTGAGTGAGTATGGATTTACGCCGCTTTTAGCAATATTCCAGCAATATCACGGCGGGGGACACCAGAAATGGGCTTAACACATTGTGCCCATGTTAGGATTCGAACCCGGGTCTTCGGCGTGACGAGCCAACGCTTTAACCACTAGGTTACCTCACCGCCCCCTGAGGCCCACGATATTGCCGAGACATTGCTTAAAGCGGCATAAAATCACACTCCCTCACTCGCTAAGAAAGACTCAATACATTACACAATCACTACAGGTCCACAGTTTGCCCGCTTTCGTATGATTCATGCGTGTAATGTGATCATATCAAATGTCGATAAACTGTCTTGTCAGACCCATCTGGAAATATGTAAAGATACGTAAAGAGTGTTATTGATCTGTTAACTTAATCATACAGTGATTGTATGAAATATATCTACCTATTTAACTAGGCCAGCCCACATGCCCACACACCATACTTAAAGCAGTGTAAAACTTCTTCACTCACTCACTCACTGGCCTGGAGGAGATCGATTATATGCTACCTTCATATATGTACGTCGTTTATATACATGACGAAAATTCTCGATATACTCATACATATAGTGATGGATACTATTTTGGTCTGAGCGTTTGATGCAATCGTTATATGATGACTGGAATGACTGAGTTTTTAACTCTATCGATTTTCAGGTTATTTGGACAAATGGATATATTTCGTATTTGTGTGGTTGCTATGACAGTGTGGCTCAGTGGAGTGGTTCTTTCTCAGGACACCACGGGTAAGTATTTACAGATGTTTTAATCTCCTTCAGTCTTATGTTTGCATCATCATCATCATGATCATCATCATCATCATCATCATCATCATATCATTTTCAGCACCATCAGTAGCGGAACCAAACACTATACGGCCCGTGAAGATCCGAGTTAGAATGGGTCCTCAGTAACCCATGCTTGTCGTAAGAGTTGACCAACGGGATCGGGTGGTCAGGCTCGCTGACTTGGTTCACATGGGTTGACATTGGGTGGCTTAAGACCAATTTTACCACGAATCATGAATCTAAGATGTAATGATAACGCGTCTGTCCAAGAGCCCTAACATTATTCGTTCTCTTGAGCTGAGTAAAATGTTTGAAGTCCTCACAGTCAAAACCTGGGATCGATTCCATTTGTAAATGTGTGAAGCCAATTCATAGTCATATTTCTGAACTATGCCATTCACAACCAAACCCCGTCGAAAAAAGCCAGTAGAAACTACGAACTGGATGAGGAAAATGGATGCAAAATATTTTAAGAAATATAATTAATTAAATTGGGTTCAAATACATACAGCTGACTTTTCAAACCATTTCAGTGACGCTTTTCCGCCCGTTCCTCAACGCGATCGTAACGCTAAGGTGATTGAATTATAATACACAAACGTACGACTCTTATAGCGCTACGATTGAGGGGAACAAGACCCAGATATGCCCAAACTACGACTGTTATAGCGCTACGATTGAGGGGAACAAGACCCAGATATGCCCAAACTACGACTGTTGTAGCGCTACGATTGAGGGGAACAAGGCCCAGATATGCCCAAACTACGACTGTTATAGCGCTACGATTGAGGGGAACAAGACCCAGATATGCCCAAACTACGACTGTTATAGCGCTACGATTGAGGGAACAAGGCCCAGATATGCCCAAACTACGACTGTTATAGCGCTACGATTGAGGGAACAAGACCCAGATATGCCCAAACTACGACTGTTATAGCGCTACGATTGAGGGAACAAGACCCAGATATGCCCAAACTACGACTGTTATAGCGCTACCATTGAGGGGAACAAGACCCAGATATGCCCAAACTACGACTGTTATAGCGCTACCATTGAGGGGAACAAGACCCAGATATGCCCAAACTACGACTGTTATAGCGCTACGATTGAGGGGAACAAGACCCAGATATGCCCAAACTACGACTGTTATAGCGCTACGATTGAGGGGAACAAGGCCCAGATATGCCCAAACTACGACTGTTATAGCGCTACGATTGAGGGAACAAGACCCAGATATGCCCAAACTACGACTGTTATAGCGCTACCATTGAGGGGAACAAGACCCAGATATGCCCAAACTACGACTGTTATAGCGCTACCATTGGGGAACAAGACCCAGATATGCCCAAACTACGACTGTTATAGCGCTACGATTGAGGGAACAAGACCCAGATATGCCCAAACTACGACTGTTATAGCGCTACGATTGAGGGAACAAGACCCAGATATGCCCAAACTACGACTGTTATAGCGCTACGATTGAGGGAACAAGACCCAGATATGCCCAAACTACGACTGTTATAGCGCTACGATTGAGGGAACAAGACCCAGATATGCCCAAACTACGACTGTTATAGCGCTACGATTGAGGGAACAAGGCCCAGATATGCCCAAACTACGACTGTTATAGCGCTACGATTGAGGGGAACAAGGCCCAGATATGCCCAAACTACGACTGTTATAGCGCTACGATTGAGGGAACAAGGCCCAGATATGCCCAAACTACGACTGTTATAGCGCTACGATTGAGGGGAACAAGGCCCAGATATGCCCAAACTACGACTGTTATAGCGCTACGATTGAGGGGAACAAGGCCCAGATATGCCCAAACTACGACTGTTATAGCGCTACGATTGAGGGGAACAAGACCCAGATATGCCCAAACTACGACTGTTATAGCGCTACGATTGAGGGGAACAAGGCCCAGATATGCCCAAACTACGACTGTTATAGCGCTACGATTGAGGGGAACAAGACCAAGATATGCCCAAACTACGACTGTTATAGCGCTACGATTGAGGGGAACAAGACCCAGATATGCCCAAACTACGACTGTTATAGCGCTACGATTGAGGGGAACAAGACCCAGATATGCCCAAACTCCCGTTCCTTTGAAATCCTGTTATCTAACCCTCCTACAGGATTACTGTTTGGGTACACGGTGGGTTAGGGGTATAGCTATATTATTATATATATGCTGCTTAATTATCTGCATATTTGCTTAGCTGAACAATTTCACTGCGAGCTGTATCATCCTGATTAACGGTGTTCCATGCTGTTTAATGCTCAAAGATATCCGATTATGTAATCTCACAGCTTCGTCTATCAAATCAAATGCAGGAGCTATTCGTTGGCATACCGGTATAGCGTTAACAGCTTCACTCTATATCAAGCATTAACATCCGCTGACTATTTCAGACAATTTCGACCTCGAGCTGCGAGATTTCTCGAAAGAGAGTTTCTTGCAGGTTGACGAAGCTTTGCTCCGCCGACGGCGAGACACTGGCGAAACCGTCGGCAGCGGAGGCATGTTGTTTTCAAACTGCACATTTTGAGAATAACCAACTAATACTGCTCACGCCTGTCATGTATTCACCTCCTTAACGTATATATAAGCGTAACAGATCCCATATCTTCACCAGTTCACTTAGATCTAAATATATATTCTATAATGCTTTTCACCGTCAGACACAAATCCTAAAGCCTTTACCGTCACATATAGACCCTTACGCCTTCACTGATGCACGTATGACGACAGACCCTAGAGTCTTCACTGTAAGCTAAAGACGCTAAACCATTTTCAATAATTCACCGACATCGATAGACGTCAACGCATTACCATTTCACGTACCACATTTGCGCAAACAACGCAAGTGAAAATGCATCTTCCTGAGGCAAAGGAGATAGTAGGCTATTGAATCGGATTCCTAATTTCCACATTTCCAGATCTAGGCACATATATTATACTTCCTGTTCATGGTGTGGATATTTGGGGGCAATTTCTGCATCCTACTAGTAAGTTGGGCGCCGAAAGATATTTAAAATATTAACAGATCGTGTTATGATTTTAACCAAGGTGCTAAATTGACATAATACATTTCAGGTAAGGCCTGTTTTATTGAGATTTAACTGTCTTGATTTTGGATGAGATCGCCTCCATTTTATTTGAAGCAATTGCAAGTCATATGAATGTAGAATCTGATTGGTCAGTTTGAAGACACAGAAGGGACATAAGTCATGATGGAAATTACCTTGCCTCCAGAGATTGTGGGTGAACCTTTCTGATTTTGGAAAAGGTCAAGACACGAAATTCAGTAGTATACATTTACCTCGATGTAATCCTTAAAATTTACCTCTTACAAGGCAAGGCCAAGGACCATTACTCCACTGAACAATATAAAGAATGAGCGAGTGAACGATGCAAAACTGTACGAAAGATAGCAAATAAATAATCTAGTGCATACCCGCTGTTCAAGAGCCCCATTCACCTAACTTGAGATGGGTTCTAGGGTGATGAGTTCTAAACACTTGGCGCCAAAGGCACGGGTTTACACTCATTCTCAATAACTGGGTGCAAATGCTGTCGCCGCCATGATTCTCTTAAATTTAATTAGCAAATGTTATTATCAGTATGGCTGAATAATGGTACTACCCTGGCCTACATACATCATGCATAAACAGTCCAATATACTTAAACGTATACTTGTTATAGCCTCGATAATCGGTCAATTTGAAATGTTCGTTACTGTCGCCGGTAACTATACCCCATCTTGCAGTTTAATTCACTGCAATTTGGTGTACAAATACCCGGATATTAGTACATTACCATATTAACATCGGTCCAAAGTATCCTTTCTGAAAACTGTTAAGCCACTGAGTTCTTCATAGATAAATAATTTCAGTTTAATGCCATGTCGCCAGTTTTGAAGAAATGTCCGTGATCGATTTTCAGCTTGACATGTACATGTGTAAAACAAATCATAATCTTACTCATTCACTTCAAAAGAATACAGTTTATGTTTAAATTAATGGTGCTTGTCATTATTTTGGGCTCAGAACATCCCCCTGCATGACATAGCTCAACACATGAAAAATATCCCATGCGTAAAATTAAGAGTGAAATCTCCGTTACCACCCAAAAGTTAGGGAATTTAGACATTTATCACATATTTTAAGTTACATTTAGACCATGAAGTATGTCAGGTGGGAAAAGGGAAAGAACATCCAAAGCTGGTGTGTGGTAATGGTAATTTCCTGATGTATTTGCCATATAATGTAATATCCGTTACTGAAATGTTCGTTACCAGGTTATTCGAAACTATGGCTTGAGAACTTTTGATACCATTTTTTCAAATACCACGTGACTTTATGATGTCATGTTGATCTGAGAGAACCGCCATTTTATGAAATCGAGCTTCACGGTGAAAAGTTTGGAAGAAGTTTCTTGATGTTGGTGAGTACCTTTTTCACCTGTCCTAACACTATGCATGTATATGGTACATTCAACGTGATTTCATCTAGTATTTTTTCATTTGAAGATCGTTAAAGCCTATGTTGATATAAAACCTGTTTCATTACCTTTTTAGTTGTCTAATTTTAGAATGAAAGGGGTTGAAATGTTCGTTACCAGAGGTAACGAACATTTCATAAAAGTTCGCACTGTTTTTTCCTCAATCAACACACTTTTCATAAAAGAATTAAAGCAAAATTTGTTCATTTATAAATAAACATTGGCATAATGTACAAATAAGACAGACTTTGATTCAGGTAATAGTTATTATATAGACAGTTCTAAGCGTATTGTTAAAAACAATAATGGTTGTCTTTTTAGAATTTCATCCAGTACATGTTTTGAGTAGTGGTATGACAAATATTTGAATCAGATAAAGATAACTTTATTGAAAAAAGGTTGAGTAACAATTAAACAACTGAATTATGGAAACATATAACTTTTTAAGAAAGGTAATTACGCGCTGTCATCATTTATTCTAGGATAACGAACATTTCACAAAGTGGTAACGAACATTTCAGACGTTGGATTTAATTAATTTCAGGTATTGCAATGGGGAAAACAAGGGCGGAGATCCAAAAAGCTTACCGGGAGAGACTGAAGGCGAAAAACAACGAAGCATACTTGGCTAAAGAAAGAAAAAGGAGAAGTGATAGCTATGTACCATCAGCCCAACTATCAAGGAAAGATCGTTTACGCCGGAACCTAAGAAACAAGGAAACCTTAAAGAGGCATAGACAGAGAAAGAGAGCTATTGCACAAGCTGATGATGACAGAGCTCCAGCTCATGATATTGACACAAGTGGGTATGACAGTCTACCAGATGGATCGCAGGCTCCACTTCTGGTACAGATGAGGTTCCCAAATCGAAGAAATGGACCCCGGAAACGGATAAGTCATGCTCTGGCTGCCAAAACTAGCCAAGTCAGCAAACTGAAAGATGACTTACAGAACCTCAAGAGGAAGTACAAGACTGTCCTATTGAAGCTGCAGAGGAAAGGTAACCGTGGTCCATCACCACCATCTCCACAAACACCTCGACGACAGACAGCAGCACAGATTAGAAGAATGGGACTAACAAAAGATCAAGGGAGGCGTGTAAAGAGACAACTGTTGCTTGGTAATGTTCTTATGAAGGAGCTGGCGACTGCGAGATCAAGTATCAGATCATCAAAGAGGCGGGTAGTTCACAATATCGTTGCTGGCAAGATTGTAAAGCGCTACCGATGTATTAACATGTTGAGTCAGAAGACAGGTTTGAGTAGGAACAAGTTGGGCAAAGTCAAGTCAAAGACCATAGATCCTGTGCGACAGAGGCGATTTCGAGAAGTGATGAGGTTTCGAGAAGATGTCCTTCAATTCATGAATAGAGATGATAACAGCAGAAACCTCCCCGGGAAAGGCGACAAAATTAGCACAGGCACAGGAGAATACGTGCAAAAAAGAATACTAACAGATTACCTGACAAATCTCCATCAAAAATTCCTTGCAGAACATCCTGTAAAACTTTCTTTGGCTTCTTTCTGTAGAATTAGACCCAAACAAATACTTACCACAGCCTTCATAACACGTGACTGTTGTTTATGCACACGGCATCAGAACATGGCACTCATTCTGAAGTCTCTCAAGCCTTTGTATCCGGAGATCCCCCTGAATCCTGAAAAGTATTCTGAAAATCCTCGAATCGATGACATGAAAGCAAACTTACTACATCCAGAGTTCACATATGGGCAATGGAAGAGAGTGCCTGTGGAGATAAAAGGCAAAACAAAAGTGGTCATGAAAATAGTCCAAGTCACCGAATCAAAGTCAGTATTCTTTGAAACACTGAAACTTCAAACACTTGAATTTATCGATCATGTATCTCGGTTGAAAACCCAGTACTCACAAATACGTGAATTGAAGCAAAATCTTCCCCGGCATGAAGCTATTATTCATATGGACTTTGCTGAAAATTACAACTGTAAATCTGTCGAGGAAATACAATCCGCCTACTGGAACCAGACCTCTGTAACTCTTCACCCAGTGGTAGTATATACTCTACCTGTCGATGGATCTGACCTGCAACATCAGAGTTTCGTCCTGGTGCCCGACGAGATGAACCACAACTCCACCACAGTACTTACCTTTCTCAAATACATCATCCAGGAGGTGAAGCAGCTGGATCCCGAGTTGAAGCATGTGCACTACTGGACAGACAGTCCCACCAGCCAATACAGGAATAAGTCCATATTCAATTTAGTGGCAAACCACGAGGACGTGTTCAACATCACAGCTACCTGGAATTACTTTGAGGCCGGCCACGGCAAAGGGCCGTGTGACGGTCTCGGGGGAACAGTGAAACGCATGGCTGATCAAGCCGTGAACGCTGGGAAAGTTGTCATTCAGGATTCGAAAGATTTCTTTGCCTGGTCCCAATCACAACACTGTTCCATGCCAAATGTGAATTTCCTCTTTGTGTCTACAGAAGAATGTGAAGCCACTGCAGCATCACAGGCAAACCGGAAGCTGAAGCCAGTGAAGGGAACCATGAAGATCCATGCTGTCAAAGGTCGGGGCAGTGGGCACATACACGTGCGTGACACAAGCTGTTACTGTAACAGGTGTTTGGGAGGTACTGTGTGTGACACCTGGCAGGAGGAGACCACAGTCAACCAGGACCAAGAAGACCACAGTGTTCTGACAGAGACAGACATGTCAGGTGTCACCTCTGCTGTTGTAAATATGTCAGATGACACTGGAGTCGCCGCAAGGCCTAACTACAATGTAGGAGAATTTGTAGCAGCGCTGTATTCCGGAAGATGGTATATTGGAAAGGTCGAGACTGTGGATCCGGAGGACTCTGAGTATGAGATCAATTTCATGGAATCAAAGAAGTCTAACTTCCAATGGCCTGCTCATGAGGATGTCATCTGGTGCAAAGAAAGTGATGTCATATGTCACATCAACACTCCTGTTCCATCTGGGAAGTCAAAGAGGATGTACACGATCACCAAAAGTGACAGACTTACAATTGAAAGCCATATGAAATAGAAAGTAACAACGTAACGAACATTTCACTCCTAAACCAAAAATTCACAACATTATATGCTGTTAAGTTTTGTTTCACGTTTCGGAGTTTATCAAGTATTTGCACTTTGTATTTAATAAGACAGACTGAAAACTGAGCAAAATAAATATTATCGTAACATCAGTGACCATCACAACGAACGTTTCATTCAAGTAACCGATATTTCTGACATTTCGATTTGGATTAAATCAAACAACTGTCCTATAATTTCAATAATGTTTGTTTTAGCCTCAAGTTGAATAATCACAGTATTATTATTTCAAATTCATGTCCCCAAAAATGAATGATAATACAATAAAATAAACAATAGTTCACTTTCCTGCAATTAAACATTTAAAAATGTCTGAAAATAATGTCAACTTTGGCTTGATTAAAAGAAACAAACGTGCTTATTAATGCTTTATGCTATTGTTTGCAGTTATTTACAGCTTTCAATATCTGGAAGTGTGTTCAGTTTATGTCTGTCTGAGGACAAGATAGTTTTTCTGAAAACATGGCTTTGGCTAAAATATTCGTTACTTTTATAGTGGTTTGTATTTAGTGGTTAGAAAATTAGTAAATTTTGTTTCCTCCTCAAATAAACAACACATGTGTTAAAAGATTGAACTCTCAGAGTAGTTGCAAGTATTTGTCAATTCATGGCATTTTACTTCATGTGTTTACTTCGTTCCTAAAGTTTGCCTTGATAAAGTTTGTTCAATATTTGCATATTCAGTATGTTGTATTCTACACTGTATTTGCTGGGAGCGACAGAGTCCACCTCGTAAGATCACAGTTACGATGTTACGGAAACATATGCTTCTTAGCTCTGTAGTAAGGACCATGATTGTATCGTATGTGGTGTTTTTATTGACATAGGGGGTTATCCATTGTTATAACGAACATTTCGGCTTCAATATTTTCTTAGTGTTCACCTACTTTGTAACCTTGTGAAAATTTCAAAAGTTTTCTATTCTTGTTGAATTCACGTTGGTTTTAGGCAGCCCAGTATGCTACCTTTGCAAAATAAATGAGTTCACTCAAATACAACTTGGTTTATTTTTCAATATTTTTGTGAGCTATTTGCACCCCGTTATTGAGAATGAGCGTTTAATTCCCTACCTGGTTAAAATATATAAGGGAATATTCCGGATTCCTTTCACCTTGGTATATTGCATAAATCCGAGGAAACTCATACACATTTTCACAAAGTAGTTCTGTCAAATTCGTCACCTAACGATCTTTTCACTTGTATTACATCTAAACACCGAGTGTTTGGCACTATGAACACGTGTTGGCCCGGCAATACATATGCTCCACAGGATCCTGAATATTAGCGAATTGATTGACTGTTGTTTTATGCCACCGTTGGCACTATTACGAGATTGTCGGTCTGATAATCGCGTCTAGTACAGCCAAACCATTGTTTGAAAGCGAGAGCAGCGTCTAACAGACCGTCGAGGTAGACACACAACCAGTCACGTTGACATCTTCTCCAGCAGCAGTAGTGTCCCTATGAATCCAGAATAACAACAGGACCCGTGAAGACACATGATATCGTTTCTAAGTTGCGTAGATCGATACTCATGCTGTTGATCACTGGATTGTGTGGCCCAGGCTCGATTATTTACAGACTGCTGTCATATAGCTGGACTATTGCTGAGTGTGGCGTTAAGAAATAAACAAAAGTAAAATACCAAAACGAATAACAATATCGTGTTCAGGTGTGAAGCATGCTTATAAACAACATCCTCAATACTTTGGCGAAGGAATGACGTATGCCAACGGTTAGATCTTGCAGATGGACACATGGTTGGCTTATGTTTGTGTCCGTGGTCTAGGTGCTATAGTCATTGACACCAGGAAGAAACAGCACATTCGTCCTCCAGATCCGACCACGACACCGTCAGACAGTACTACCGTGGACTTCACACCGCTTACAGGTACGGTGATAGTTGTAGTCTTACAGACAACTGGTGCAACTCTCGGTACGTCCGTAACACCAATGTCAGCACCGACAACGGCTGTAACTTCACGCAAGACTACCATCCCCTGAACGGATAAGTGGTGCATCATTGGTGGATACAATCCGCCGATACAGAGTTAAAGGAAATGATCAGCTTCTTACACTGAAGTAGTTAACACATCCACATAATTACATCGTTCATGTTAGTCAACGCATCATAGATAGCCAATCCAATCTGTAGGCCACCCTTGCAGTGATGGCCTACATGCACACACTTTCTTTCTTCAGCACACAAGGTAAATTCTACCCTATACACAACAAGAACCTATGAAGATCCGGGATATAATCTTCATTTACCCATCCTTGTCGTTAGAGGCGACTAACGGGATCAGGTGGTCAGGCTCGCTGACTTGGTTGACACATGCCATCGTATCTCAGTTGCGTAGATCGATGTTCATGCTGTTGATCACTGGATTGTCTGGTCCAGATTCGATTATTTACAGACCACAGCCAGGAATATTGTGCGGCGTTAAACTGAACTCACTCACAACAAGAGTTATACACTGCACTCTCCCAGCAACATTTTCCCAACAATTGTGCAGATCACTCTCCCAGCAACATTTTCCCAACAATTGTGCAGATCACTCTTCCAGCAATATTTCCACACAAATTGTACTCTCCACACTCCCTGCAACACTTCCCAGCACAGCTGTCTAAGTAACAGTTCCCATACCACATGCTTCTAAAAAACATATCCAATTCTTTGTAATGAATATTATCCAGTGGTACTGTTCCTTTAACGCATCCGACATTATTAACAAATGATTTTTTTATGTTTATTCAAGAAATTAGGGTTACAGTTGTTGAGTAACTATTTTAGGTGGTGATATAGACACATCGACTTCTGGGGAAACACCGTCCAATACATCGACAGATCCTGGTAAGTATACCATCCTATGCAGAAAAAAGGTACCAATTTAAGGGACAACCAATCACCCTTTGGTGTAGTATTACAAATTAGGGTAAAAATTGTTTGGAGACTTAATTTGTCTGCTAAGAAACATAGTTTTAATAACGCAACCTACATACATTAGTTGCGTTCGGTCTCAAACTATTAACTCAAGTTAATTAAGAACGCTTTATGTAATTTGAATTGTTAAGACTTTTTATATTCGCCCTCTTGTCACTTAGGTATAAAAAGGGCGGTGTGATAGCTTCGTGTTTAATGCGTTCGTTCTTGACGCCGAAGACCCGGGCTCGATTGCCCACATACGTACAATGTGTGATGCCTATTTCTGGTGTCCCCTCCATGATATTGTTAAAAAATATTGCTAATAGCGGCGTAAAACCCAATTCACTCACTATGTAGAAAAAGCCAGCTTACGGGCAACGCTGCCATCGAAAACACTCGACATTTTACTGGCGTTTCAATCACTTGCTGCCACTGACAAAATACAAGTAATTTACAACCATCTCGATAACCACAAAAGAACAGACAAACAGATGAACCATAGTTACTGAACGTAGATTAGCATTTACCATTTACCGCTTTTATACAGCTGACATATAGTTATGTACCGTTTCCTATAATGCGCACTTGCAATAGCGTAACTGTTTCATGGTAAAATCTATTTGACAACTCTTTCAACTGCCCTTCTGTTTCATTGCGGCTTGTAATATAACGCAGTGCTTGTCCTCTTGAAAACCCCCACATAGTATTTCGTGTGCCAATGTGTCTGCAAGTGTTTGTTGCCTGTGCGACATGTATCAAAGTGACATTCAGATATTTCCAAAAGATATTGGACTTTATGAGTGTATATATGTATCCTTGACGTGTATATCTCTACGCTACAAGTCATCATGTTTGGATGTTTGTTGAACGTACTATTCCGTATCGTACTATTAATTAAACTACTAAAACGGAACGCTTTAATCTTATGAATGTTCCTATTCAACAGGGGTTTCCACACCCTCGTCAGCAAGTACGGAATATGGTGTTTCATATTCCTCAACCTCGACAGCAAATACAGGAACGGAAACTACTTCAACGACAGCAACTACAACAACAGTCGTTGCTCCTGGTGAGAACCTATTCAAATGACTGCAATGTTTAGCTCGGAATCGCAATAACAAGAACATTAACAATAAGCAAGAGTACCAAACCAAGGGACAGCAAATCACCCTCTTGGTGCAGTATTACAAATTAGGGTAACAACTGCTTTCCGACTTATTGAATGCTGTAAAACATGTTATCATCACGCAACCTGCGCATTTTTTGTCAGTTTTGATTGTCTGCTCAACAAAATGACATCATGATTAAATACTGTCGCCAATACTGAAGAGAGACCAGCAGTTGTTCGCTGCATAGATGTCGTTACGACAATAGAGTGTCTAAGCATTAAGTATATTGTTGCCGTCAACATTAAAACAGACTTCCAGTTCCCATAAAAGGAGAGATCTGAATGGACTACCAACAACCCATCCATATTTTTATACCATGAGTCTCTCAATCTTAAAATAATGTTGCAGAATAAATTTATCCCGGATACGGTTACAACACGATTTTCAAATCGAATAGCAAATATTTAATGTTTACAGAATTTAATTGTGAAGTCAGTAAACGATCGCCAGAAATGACTAACAAATTATGTTGAATTGCAAGGTATTAGGTTTACAATAAGAAAGGCAATTTGAATGGATGGTTATGTGTTAACAGCAGTAAGTAAGAGGACCTGGAGTTAATGTAATTCCTTTCAGGAATGTTTTAGGTCACGATCAAACTTTTCCAACAGGCCTGTCTCTGTTATTGCATCCAGAATAGTGTTGGATGCTAAAACAATTTCGGTGTTTCGAGATCCAATCCACACTGGTCAAGTTAATATGTTGAAAGGCAGGTCCAAACACTCTATTCGCCCTCTGGTCACTTATGTACAAAAGACCGCCTCCATGGTGTAGTGGTTAGCGCGTCCGCCCGGAGAGCGGAAGGTCGCGGGTTCGATCCCCGGCCTCGTCATACCAAAAGACGTTAAAATATGGTACTTGTTGGTCCCTCCCTGGCGCTCGTCATTTACACGCTTGCACGTCGTCATATGAGCGAAATATTCTCAATCACGACGTTAAAAACCCAATTTCACCTCACCTCACCTATGTAGAAAAAGTTATCTTATTGGAAACGCAACCATCGACAACGCTCGACATTTAACAGGCACTTCAATCAATTGCTGTCACTGACTACCTACCAGTAATGTACAACCATCTCAATAGCCACATAAGAACAGATAAACTGTAGTTACAGCATTTACCTCTTTATGTATTTTCATATGTTATGAAGGTTCCTATTCAACAGGGGTTTCCACACCCTCGACAGCAAGTACGGAATATGGTGTTTCATATTCCACAACGTCGACAGCAACTACTGGAACTGCAGCTGCTTCAACGACAGAAAGGGCAACTACAACAACAGTCGTTACGCCTGGTGAGAACCTTTTTCAATATTTAACTCTGAATAGCAATAACAAGAGTACTGACAATAAACAAAAGTGCTAATTCAATCACCCACTTGGTGTAACCATTAGCAGAGACTTATTTTCTGCAGTTGATAACTTACATATATCAGTAAGTTGTGTTTGTCTACAAGGTAGCCCATAAAGTGACATCTTGTCAAGTATTGCCATCCACTTGGTGTAATGTTACCAATTAAGACTTACTGTGGCCTGAGAAACATGTTTTTCATCATGCAGTCTGCACAAGCATGGTTTGCTGAAGACGAATTCTAACCCGGATCTTCACGGCAAGCAATGTAAATTCTCACGTATTTTGTAATGGTTTAACTGATCCATACTATTTGCATGCCGCTGTGACACAATTAGACAATTGCCCACTTTATTTAGTTTCAGTGAACATCACAGGAAAGTGCAACCAGACGGATGAGACGAACATCGGTGGCGAAACAACAGTTGGGATCGGCTGTGTCTTCCGCAGTGTGCCTGCCAGAAATCTCACTGTTACCTGTCAGAAAGGAAATTCCTTGATCTCATCATCTGGTAGAATATTCTACAGAACTGGAACTGAAGCCGGGTCGTTTTTTGTTCAGCTAAACTTTACTCCAATCTTGCGCCGTGATAGAGGTAGGCATGACAGACGTCTTGGAGTTAATAAATAATTTTATCTTACCTCACACATAAATGTCGCTTTCTGATTGGCTGAGCGCTCTTCTATTATGTTCAATGTACCCCGCATACAAGCGAGTAACATTTCAATGTACCCCGCTGTCAATGGCAACTCATTTGGTACTTCACGGTAGTAATTCTTTATCTCGAATAACATTGAAACACGTATGATATACGGAAATTACCGATTTTTTTGCAATTGCAAATCGATGGAAGGGAGATAACTCTAAATAATTTTCGTACCAATCGTGAAACCACAGCCATGGTTATGGTTACCTAAGACCAAGTTGAACGACATAACGTAAATGAGAGGATTTATGTTTTCAAATCTTCTTAGACTCCCATTCTAGAAGTTGAGGGAATGAAGGATGAGGACAATTTTTATGGATATAAATTTTCTTTATTCTGTATAGGTGACGTTTCGACGTAGATTCTTGCTTGTTTCACTTGCTTGACAACGTCATTAGAATATATGTCGAAACGTCGCCTATACAGAATAAAGACGGACATCCATAAAAATTGTCCTCATCCTTGGTTCAAATCTCCTCAGATCCTCGATGAAACGTATCTTGGAAAGATGACAAAATCTTTTTCTGTGAAAAGCCATACATCTTCGGTTACCAAACTTGATTGTTGTCTACACTTGATTAAGAAGAAGTGCTTAATCATAGAAAAAGCTACATATTCCCCACAACCCTCTTTGTTTAGATGGCTACTCATGCAAGTCAATAGTGGGTGGGTCATACGTCTAGATACCCTTCAATATTTTGCTGTTCGAACCTCCGCCTGTGACACAGTAGTACAATCCTGGTAGAAAAATAATACACATTTCCGACAACCTTCGTTATTCAAGGTAACTACACCTGCAAGGCTACAGTAGATGAGTCATCTATGGAGATAATCATCTCCATCCAGGTGTTTGAAAATCCGACAGTGACGTTGTTCCCGTCTACGCTGTCCCTGCAGGAAGGTGGTCAGAGGAACCTCACCTGCAAGGTTACCAACACAGGTGCTGTGAAGACGATCCCTGCAAGTCTGGTCTGGTGCCGTCCAGGTGGATCCATCATAGGTCAGTGTTGAATGTGTGATCATGTGGAAATGAAAGTGAAATGTCACTGAAACTGTATACTGCCCCAACCAGCTTTCGACAGGTCAAGGCGCATAATGCGTTATCTGCGCAGTACCTCTCGCAGCAAAGGAGTAGTGCCTTTCATAATTTCTGAGGACTGGACCAAGAAGACTGGGTCACCCGTGATACTTGATAGAATTGTGAGAAAGGAGTGGACATCAACACTTCAACCACTTATGGAGGGAGGAACATCATTCATCATTGAAATATTGTTCCATGTTAAACAGTCACATGTATTTTAATAATAATAGACCATTTATCCTGCGCATTGCTCCATGCACAATGCATGCTCGAAGCGCTATGTGCTTCATTCTGGGGCAGGACTGAAGTCCTAGAAACTCTCAGGAGCCAAGCTGCTGACGGTCACTTACCCAAGGGCTTTCCGCGCCCAAACTTAATCTCATTTGTGACCTGAGTTTTATGCACAGGAACACGTACCACCATATTAGTAACAGTATCTTGAGCGATAGTACATGAACGAAGCAGTATGTGATTGTTAAAACGTTTTCAGCAGCAGAAACCAGGCACTTCTAGAGAAAGGCGTTTCTCCTCTTCATATGTTCACTCCCCGGCTTAGAATGGAGTTGAAATTCACACTGATCTGTAGCAATGATATGAGAATATATGGATCTATTGCACTTTTGAACTGTTTTTTGTATCCACGTGCCCTTTCAATACAGATCGATCGAAGATCGTGAGAGTCGTAGATGGAGTGGAAATTCTGATGCTGAACTCGACTGATGCAGCTGGCGTCTACGGGTGTGGAGCCACCAACTGCACAGAAACAGCCACCCTTGCTAAAATAAGGGAGGGAGGTAACACTCTTTCAATGGACATAAGAAATCTATGCGAAAAGCGGAGTCGACCGTACAACTCCCACTGCACCATCGTGTTCAAGGATCACTGCCAACCAGTGACAGTCACACGTTGTTGGAATACCGACACAGACTGACTGAGTTTAGTCTTATGCCGCTTTTAGTAAATTTTCCAGCAACATCACGGCTGGGGACACCAGAAATGGGCTTAACACATTGTACCCCTGTGGGGATTCGAACCCGGGTCTTCGGCGTGACGAGCCAACACTTTAACCACTAGGCTACCCCACCGCCCCACCAACACAGATGCTCTATATAGTAAACATAGTAAATGTCAACAACGCCTCCAACTAATGCGCAAACTGAGATCTTTTAATGTTTCCCAATCTGTTTTGATGTTGTTTTATACCACTTTCTATGAGTACTTTTAACGTCTGAAAAAAATCATTAAAGACCCAAAACATTTATAAAATCTGGAGTATAAGCTTTTATCTTTTTGCCGCCCATACACAGTGCCCATCACCAAGACTAAAGGAGCTCGAACGTCTTTTATACCTCAAAGTATTGCAACTTTAAAGAAATGTTGAATGTCCACTTATGATTTTATTCATTTAATTACATTTGAGCACATATTTATCTATTTTTGTCCTTTCAGTAATGTCATATTTTATGTTGTAATTCATTTGTATTTCTGTCAAGCTTTGTGATCCAAAACGAATTCCTTTTAAAGTAATAAAGTATTGTCTTTTTCTTCCAGACAAAGTGTGTCCACAAACCACAGACTCCAGAGGAACAGAGTGGCCTCAGACTGTCGGAAATACGACCATGGTGCTGCCCTGCCCTGTTGGATTTCAAGGTGGGTTCTGGTTTAATGATTAGAACATTTGGAATTATTTGATACATTGTAGCATATTTAAGTGTCTGCATCCTTATGGTAACCGTGTATGTTAACATTTAAAGGAAAATTGATTATATTATCTTCCAAGTAAGTATTTTGAAATCGATGGACATCTGTGTTCGTTATACATTATCTCCTTGAATCGCATTGTGAAAGACAACTGCGGCTACTGCCTAGTTTCTGAAAACACTTTAGATATAAGACATCTACCTCATTATAGCCTTTATACGTTGGGTATGGGATTTCATATGATTTCGTATATTTCATTGTAAACAACACAATACTCAGCATCTAATTGTGAGAGCCTCGCCATTGCGATATTTGGTTTCAGAGGAGGTATTATGTTCATTTATACATGCGGTATGAGTAGAACACCTCCTTCACAACGTATTTAATCTTTAAGGTGACGTTGGACGTGTCTGTGACGTCACTGGTGAGTGGAAAGAATCAAACTACATAACGTGCGTGAGAGAAGAGATAGCTCAGATAGAGGAAGAGGTGAGTCAAGTTACCATGCGATGCTTGAAAAGCAGTGAACATATTTATCTATTGTTTATTATTTATTCTTGTCGTAAGAGGCGACTAACGGGATCGGATGGTCAGGCTCGCGTTCTTGGTTGACACATGTCATCGGTTCCGAATTGCGCAGATCGATGCTCATGCTGTTGATAAATGGATTGTCTGGTCCAGACTCGATTATTTACAGACCGCCGCCATGTAGCTGGAATATTGCTGAGTTCGGCGTACAACTAGACTCACTCACTCACTCTTTGCGTATGTATTTCTACTCCACAGGTAACTGCAATCACCGAGGGAGGTGCGTCTAGTGATGCTGTGAAGGATGTACTGGACAGCCTCCAGAAGGCTACCAAGAACAACGACTCTTCTTCGGGAGATCTGGACACATCCATTGACCTTGTGGACAAGCTTGTGACTGCAGTGAGCAAGTCAGCCGCAATTGCTATTGACAGTGCCACTACACAGGTGACTTGAATCGAAAAGGGATGTTTGCATAAGAATGAAATCGTAATATTCGATATAAACTTCGCTTAATTAATACCCGTGAGGATCTAGGTTAGTAGTGGTCTTCAGCATCCAATGCTTGCAACTAACGAGATCAGGTGGTCAGGCTCGTTGACTTGACACATCCACATAATTACTTCGTCCATGCTAGTCAACGCATCACAGCCAATACTAAAGTACTGTCGGAAATAGGAAAAAAATGTATTTTCTCATTTATCTCTGCAATTTATGTAGTTGATATGTGAAAGTGTGAAATATCTGTTAAACTAAGTTCGGCCTAACTACAGTCGCGGTGGTAGAGAGATAGGAAACGGAGAAAAGGGACTTTACTGAGGGGAAATTAGTGCAGAAATGAGCAATGCGTTTTTTTGTAAGTCTAAAACGACTTATTTGGAACAGACCATGGCTTTATGCAAATTAGAATGCAACGATATTGTATTACAAAGGGCACTTTTTAAATGCCCTATTTGAAATTAGACGTAGCTTCATTATAAACGATAGCTGACGTAAAAATAATAACTTTCATGCTGAAACTATTAAGGATGTAGCTACCATGGAGTTTCACTGTCACTATAAAAAGAAACAGATAGGAGGGGTCGTCTCAAAAGTAAAACCTGGATGGTGTCGCAGACGATCGTTGGGGGATAGAGATATCAGCTAAGATAACATAATCCTTTAGGGCAATTATACTGGGGAAGTCACGCATGTCATAACAATTTACAAATAATATCCATCTTCGGGTGGTCATGCCACCTATATATTTTGAGACATTTAATACGATGCGTTTCTATGGTTATCGGGTATCATACTCTGTTACATATCTCAACATAAAATTTATGAATGAAAGACACGTAAGATGTTAATCAATAGAAATTATTTTCAGCAGCTATTCGTATTTCTTCTAAGTTTTGCCCGATTTTACGAGTAAATATGCTTTTCTGGATATCCTATTACGCATCCCACATAATGCCAAGTTAGGCAGAAGTTGGTTATTTCGACACACTAGTATGCTATTTGCAGTTGTGTAAGTTTAGGGATACAGAGTAACAGCCTAAAAACAGTTTTTTCTATTTCTGACAGTGCTTTATACTTGCACACACACACACACACACACACACACACACACACACACACACACACACACACACACACACACACACACACACACACACACACACACACACACACACACACACACACACACACACACACACACACACACACACACACACACACACACACACACACACACACACACACACACACACACACACACAGAGAGAGAGATATAGCGCCGATATCCAGTACAACTGCTCAAAGGCGCTTTGTTTTCCCTCGATCATTGATTATCCATCACAACGGCACATCGTATTTTTCAATCTCTGTATTAAACAACAAACCAACCACTAAATTAATATGTAAGTATTTCTGTAGAATTTGTAGAGCTGCTGATATCATTGATATCATATATATTTCTACCAGTGACATTAAGTAGCCAACGGGAAGGGTTTAATGTTTTACTTAAAACATATTTTATTCAAAGATGAATTGGATTAGGCACAAGTTATCCAACTTAGGAACGTCCTCTCTCAGATATTACATATTTACAATATAAAAACATTGACAACAGGGATTAGTTGAATGAAATCTTTTAAAGGGGATGTGTATAATATATACAAGAATAGAATTACTAAAATCTTCCTGTGATCTTTATATATAACTATGTACATGTTCAAATTATAACTCATTTTCATATAGTGATACTGTAACATGACCAAATAACAATAAATCTAGATTAGTAGGTATATGATGCTTAACGACAGCATTTACATTTACACACAAATCTTTACGCTGCGTTGTATACAAAGAACATTCTAAAAGATCAATTCATGAATTTTCACAAGGATAACCACAAGTACAAGAAGCATCTGATCTAATTCTAAATAAATCGTAATTATGCGGACTTGTATAGTACCTCAGTTTTGTGTGAATAATGTTTTCTTGTACCAGACCAAAAGAATGTGGCTGCATTTAGTTTTCTTTGAGTTTTCAATTTAAAACCTGCTAAAGAATCTATGTTTCTTATTTCTATTATGAGGAAAGTTTCAATCGAGTGAATTGAAGGGAGAAGTTTAAAGAATTGCGAAGGTTATAAGATGATTTTTGGCCAACATATGTAGGCAGTAATTCCAGATGTATGATGGTGCAATATTGTGAAGAATCGTATAAAATACGCAGTTTTCTTTTTTCTTCTACGTTCACTTACCAACTTCTAAACACAAATGATCATGAGAAGTATATTGTGGAAGTCCTGTCACTATACGGGCTGCTTCTAACTGTAACTGTTCCTGGATATAATTCACACGCATATTTAAAATGAGGCCGAATAAAAGCAGAGTAGATCTTATTTATTGTTGTTCTTTTTAACAAAAACCTTAACTTTCTCATGGAATTTATCATTTTGGAGGTTTTCTTTAAAATATCATTTATGTGGTGGGACCAGCCTCTATTTGAAGAGAATGTTACACCAAAATGTTTATTAAAATGAACAGCTTTATTGTTACAGCCATACAGACATAATTTGGTCGAGAACAATACAGACTGTCTTACCTGGATTGTATTTGAGTAACCAGACTGGAATCACTCAACGAGCTTAAATGTTCATTCATAGTTACTTGCAATGATTGCATGTTATTGGAAGATGCACCGAGTGATGTGACATCAGCGAACAATCTTGTTAAGCAATTTAATACAACGGCTATGTCGTTCACATACATAATGAAAAGAAAAGGACCCAAAACTGAACCCTGTGAGACTCCGGCTTAGTGATATCGGCCTATAATTTGATACAATTAAATTGTCACCTTTCTTAAAGGTCACATGCAACCAAAAAATCAAACATAATTTAAACACAATTATCACTTCTTCATAACATATAATATGCATTGCTGATTATGAAAAAACAAATAAACAAAATTATAAGCGTATAATCGCAAATCAAAAGTGCAATATTTTGTACTTGGGTTTAGCTCCCTCGAAACGAAGCAGCCAGGATACCGAACCCAGTCAGAGCGGGTGGTTGTGCACTCAAGTGTAACGGCTGGTTCATTAGCAGATGCCGCCTTCATTGTGTGTGTATATATAGAGACGTTGGGTTTTGTAAATACATGCTCATTTTTTGCGTATAACATCAACAGACATCATAACATGTCATGTGTTCAAGTATCACACCTACCTGTCTGTGTAATTACATAATGTGACAGAGACCGAACTCGGGCCATAAATCAATGCCTTTTGTTTATGGTGTATAGCCTGATTGGTGTTAAGTTCGAATTGCATGTGGTCAGTGATAGCAGCTGTGTATTGAATATTGTCATTAGCAGACAGGCAGGCAGACACACAGGTGTCAATAAAACAAGACATTGAGTTTTGTCTGTGACAACGACATATCTATATCACAGTTAGAAATTGTGTCAACGCTAAATAATGACATTGCTTTTAAGTATCGAATGAGAAAGTGACTCGGTAAGAAGAACGTGTGGTGAATTAGACAAATGAAATTATATAAACAGTTAATTTACTGTCATAACATATAAAAAGCTCGCGCCTGTGAGATATCAACAAAACATTAGAAAAATAGCTCACACCAAAGCCTTCACCGAGTATTCACCCGACAACCCGCTTCCAAGCTTCGCGAACCTATTTACTTGCGCACGTGCTATGAGCGCAGCCCAGCTGTTGAAACCCGTTTTCCCCGGAAAAGTCTGGGGAAAATTAGTGAAACGTTTGAACTCCGATTTCGCGCGTTTTTTTTCATCGCGTTATTTTTCAACTTTATAAGTTGAATTTGCATTTTTGACTAATTGTTTCGGTATGTCCATACCGAAAGGTATCAGAATCTGCAAAGTTGTGTTTTACGTTGCATGTGACCTTTAAATAGCGGCAAAACAAGGGCCTTTTTCCGAACATTTAGGAAAGTACTCGATCTAAGAGAAAGATTAAATAATGAACAAAAACACTGCTTATAGAGTTAACAGTTTTCTTCAACATTGGATGACTAATTTTATCTGGTCCAGTTGCTTTCTTGGTAGGAATTGAATTAATGATATCAGAAATGTCTTTCACTGTTAAAGTTATCATATAAATTGATGCATCAGTTCTTTGTCAAAACTAGGAAGTTGTATGTATTCATCATTAAGGTTTGAAACTGATTGAAAATATTCATTGAGCCTGTCAGCTTTAACCAATTCAGAGAAAATAGATGGGTGCTCATCGCTGCTGTTCTCTTTTCAACCTGGAATAGTTGAGCTGGAACCGGAAGATTTTACAATGTAGCGTGGAGTTTCCAATAAGAAGATTTGTTTTCTGTATACATTTCAAATAATAGTTCATTTAAGTTTGAGTAAAACATTTCTTTGGCATAAGCTTTCATATTATTTACTTTGTTGCGTTGCTTTCTATATTTTTTAAGTCCTGAATCGATCTCTTTTCCTGCTTTCTCTTCTTAGTTTTAAATCATACCAGATCTTGTCATTGGGTCTGATGGTGACAACTCTTGTTGGGACGCACTGCTTTAGATAAAACTAAAATGTTCATAAAATAACTGACAAGCTTCATTGATATCCTTGCAATTATGAAACATGGAAAACCAGTCTTGTAAATCGATCAGTTGATTCAATTTTTCAAAATACCTTTCTTATAATACCATACGTCTCTAGTATAAGCCACTTGTATAGATATATAAGCATTGATATAAGTGTAGGTATCTTTATAATCACTGATATTTCTACCAGAGTCTATGACTTCGACATCATCGCTGGCAATATCTAATAAAGTACAGACATGTTCTGTAACTCTAGTCGGTTCACTAATAATATTTGTTTTGATTGATTCAAGGGCAAGATGGCTGTGTGTACCGTCATATCAACAATAAATATTCTTTACATAAGAAAGTTTATATTTTCATGCTTAACCTTCTTCCAGACCAATCAATTCGATGTGCGTCGTATTCAGATGTTAAAACTTATATCTATATTTTTGGAGTGCATAAATTCGAACACCCTCTTACAACGATTTATGTATGTTCATGTCAAATAGTTACCCTCAGATGAAAATGGGATGACACATCTGCATGTCACAGAGGAACATTAACGTCATAATGTCACATGTTATAAATATTCATTTAAAATCCCTTTGCTCACAACTTTAGAGTAGCACAAGTCACAAGGCATCTGCAACAAACACAAAGGCATACGTGTATGTGTATGTTTTTAGCTCAAGTGGTTGACTTTTATTTTTAGACTTTCATCAACGTGATTGACAACATTCTGTCTGTGAACACGAGCCAACAAACCTGGAAACAGGTTCAGAATACGGTGAGTTTAACGGTGCTTCCGAGCCTGTGGTAAGTCGAACACATTTCAAAAGGGATATCAATCGATTCCTTTAAGAATTCAAATGGTGACCAATAACACATGTACTGCGTGTACTGCCAACCACATGATGTCTCTACTATCTCCGTTCTGTTGAATTCAACACTGTCAGGTGCAATTCAGTCAGTACTGATTCCTATTGAATTATCTACAAACATTGACAAGTTCTTCCTTTTTGCATAGATTAATCTATTCTTAAATTTTCATGAATCATCTTTTTAAGCATTTCCAGAAAAAAGCGCATGTTACAGATGATGTTATAATTTTGTTTAAAGAATATGTATTTTTCATTAAGGATGAGACAAAAGCTGCGTCTTTGATGAGATCAGTCACATCCTTCGGTTTGTCTGCTGCTAAATCACAGGCAGTCAACACACCTTTGAGAGTTAACAGTTCAACTTTAGGTAAGACTGGTGATCCGACTTGACCACAAAAGTATAGTTGTTTAAAACGAAGTGTTAAACGGTATCAAACTATATTAGTATTAATATGGGACGCACGTGTTTGTATTTCATTCTCATGACATATGAACAAGAAACAAATGTGTATATCAAATTATACACACCTAAATGTATGATATCTTAGGCATGCCAATGGCCAACACTAAGCATTCTTGACAAAGTATGAAGTCTTTGGTAAGATGGAGCTTCTGGTAAAAGCATGGAGATTTGAACAATTCAAGGCTACTAGTTTAGACAGAACTATCCGCATTATAGGTAAATGGTTTGAAATAACTGAAATCTTTCTAAAATGTATGATAACCGTAAAATATCTACCTAACTGATTTGTTTTATCAAGATGTAAATATTTTCTTACTGTTGTGTGATTCGTTTCAGTGATGGAAGTTGCGAATATTACAAGGAAAGATATTATGTTCTCCTCACTGGGACTGGAGGAAATTGGGGACTATTTGACACTTCCAAAGGAGAACTTCCGTGATTCTGGTAAAATACATAAACTGACATACGAAAGAATATATACAGTTAAACTTTTATGAAGATTTTTTAAAGATTAAATGTAAATATTTTGGAAAGTGTTTTGCCTGTGACAAGCCACGATCCTTGTGTACTTGTAGCCAATATCTTGTCAGCAAATTGTTATTGAGTGCATTTGGTTTTACACCGCTTTTAGCAATATTCAAGTAATATCACGGCAAAGGACTCCAGAAATGGACTTCACACATTGTACCCTTGTCGTGAATCGAACCCGGGTCTTCGGCGAACTAAATTGTGTGGTCCGTCTGAGTTCGTTATAACAGTATTTTACTGTATTTATACCGTGTGTACAGTGTCGTAAAGTATTGATGATCTTCTTACTTGACATTTATAGTGAGTAGCCTGTGTTGCACTAAACGATTGCCAAAAATCACTATATATTTGATATATACTGAGGGAAAAAAATAAGGGATCAAAAGAAAGCTCAAGTGTTCCTTTATTTGTTTCCAGGTTTCCTCACAAGCTATGCGATACAACACTTGTGGAGAAACCTGGAAACAAAAAAGGAACACTTGTGCTTTCATGTGATCCCTTATTTTTTTCCCTCATTATATTTGACTTTATTGATGGAATTTGGTTTTATTTGACTTTTTCAGAACAAATTACATACGTTGCAGCGTTTTACAAAACAATGGCAGATTTCCTACCGACAACCATGTCCAGGTTAGAAAGGATGGTACTTCGAGTGTAAACATTGTAGAACACAAACACCATTAATCATAATAAAAGGAGTGTCTCGACCTTGAATAAAAACTTGACCGTTAAAATTGAAGTGTTCCTTAACATCATAAATGTCTATTTAAAGAAACAATCTCTGAATAAAAAAAATATTATTGTTGGAGAGAGAAAATAATCACATACCCACAATAGTGGTCTTCGTTTTGTGAAAGGACTCACGCCGATGGTGTGTATGTATTTTCAGTGGGAACGTAGCCATGGACAAAGAGGTCAATTCTCAAATTCTTGCACTTGCTGTCCAAATCGAAGGAAAGGAGTTCTCAAGTCTCAATATGAACGTATCACTTAACTTTCACAATATACAGGTACTTGTCGTACTACTGCTTAGTAAAGCAGCGGTGTTCTTGAGTGAGCCTGTTAGTGAGTGAGTGAATGAATGTGGTTTTTAGCAATATTCTTTTTCTAGCAACATTCAAGCAATATCAAGGCGGGGAACACCAGACATGTGCTTCACACATGGTACCCATGTGGGGAATCGAACACTGGTATTCGGTGTGACGAGCGAGCGCTTTAATCACTAGGCTTCTTCAAACCTCTTGTTAACAGCCTCCGTGGTGTAGTGGTTAGAGCGTCCGCCCGGAGTGCGGAAGGTCGCGGCTTTGATCCTCGACCGCGTCATATCAGAATACGTTAAAATATGGTACTTATTATTCCCTGCCTGGCTCTCGGCATTAATGGGTACAACAAGGTCGGCTCGGAGTCTGTATAATGTGTCTGAGTGGGGTATCTCAGTGAGCAAGCACTATAAAACCAGCTTAAGTCTGGGCTAGTACAAGCCACACATACACACGCATGCATGTCGTCATATGAGCGAAATATTTTTACGTACGACGTTAAACCATATTTCACCTCACCTCACTTCAACTCACCTCAAACCTCTTGTTGTTTGAGTAGTGATCCTGTTTCCAAAATAAAACACGTCATACACGTTTACTGCTTCAATGAATCAAACGATCAGGAGTAGGGTGTTTGTTATAAAACATCATCATTGTAACAGATGGACGTTTCTTAAGGAAACTGCTTCAAGGCATGTAACCTACGTTTATAACGAAGATTCATATAAGAACTGACGGGTGTAACGAACTGCGCTTTCTTGCATTGTTGTTCACACGATATATCCTTAATATGTAATACCATTTCAGACGAACTACTCAGAACCAGCCTGTGGATATTGGGATTTCGATAAAAGGTAATTATTTTTGTAACATCTCGAAACCTCCATTCATAGGTTTGGAACCATGTCCTCAGACCCCTTTGGTCATCGTGGGAGCCAAATGAAGATGTTTGGGGGCTTACTGTGCCATATGTGATGTTACACACACGCTGATTGTCAACCTTGTGAACCTTGACCTTGACCTACATGACCTTCCTGTCCGGTTTAGTATAGGCCAGGGCTACGTTATATCACTGCTCTCATATACTATTTACTCTTGCTATTGATTATAGTTACATGTTCAGAATGATTTGCCATCCGAACCATCTGATTTCAAGACATACCTGTAATTTTTTGTTCCAGTTCCTGGTTCACGGATGGCTGCACAAGCTACGAAGTGAACAACTCCTTCACAAGATGTGAATGTGACCACCTCACTAACTTCGCCATCCTCATGAGTCCAGGAAGGACAGTGGTATAAGCTTTAAATTGATTCGTAATCTAAATTTCTCGACATGGTTTAAGGTTCATTTACTGAATGATTTTTTGTCTCTGGACATGAAATACATTAATCATCAAGATTTAGATATAAAACTTAAAGCCAGAGGGTGAGTGATGGTTTTACGCCGCATTTAGCAATAATCCAGCAATATCTCTACCCCAGAAATATGTTTCATACATTGGACATGTGGGGAATCGAACACTGGTCTTTGGCGTGATGAGTGAACGCTTGAAGCACAAGGCTACTTCATCACCCTTCAAAGTCAGAAAATAATCAGCGCTTAAATTTATATGACTGGTCACTCAAATCAAGTAACCGTATAGCATTATACGGACCTAACCGTATAAAAATGATTCTTCAGGGCAGTCAGTCTCACATGGAAGGGTAGGTTTGCTGCATTTCAGCATTTAATGTGGTAACCGTTCGCCCATAGCAACTTACTTTACACTTAGTGAAACCATTAACAACTTACTTTACACTAAGTGAAACCATTAACAACGTACTTTACACTTAGTGAAACCATTCACAACTTACTTTACACTAAGTGAAACAATTAACAACTTACTTTACACTTAGTGAAACCATTAACAACTTACTTTACACATAGTGAAACAATTAACAGCTTACTTTACACTAAGTGAAACAATTAACAACTTACTTTACACTTAGTGAAACCATTAACAACTTACATTACACTAAGTGAAACAATTAACAACTTACTTTACACTTAGTGAAACAATTAACAACTTACTTTACACTAAGTGAAACCATTAACAACTTACTTTACACTAAGTGAAACAATCAACAACTTACTTTACACTTAGTGAAACCATTAACAACTTACTTTACACATAGTGAAACCATTAACACTTACTTTACACTTAGTGAAACAATTAACAACTTGCTTGACACTTAGTGAAACCATAAACAACTTACTTTACACTTAGTTAAACCATAAACAACTTACTTTACACTAAGTGAAACCATTAACAACTTACTTTACACTGAGTGAAACCATTAACAACTTACTTTACACTAAGTGAAACCATTAACAACTTACTTTACACTTAGTGAAACAATTAACAACTTACTTTACACTAAGTGAAACCATTAACAACTTACTTTACACTTAGTTAAACCATTAACAACTTACTTTACACTAAGTGAAACTATTAACAACTTACTTTACACTTACTGAAACAATTAACAACTTACTTTACACTAGTGAAACCATTAACAACTTACTTTACACTAAGTGAAACAATTATCAACTTACTTTACACTTAGTGAAACCATTAACAACTTACTTTACACTTAGTGAAACAATTAACAACTTGCTTTACACTTAGTGAAACCATTAACAACTTACTTTACACTTAGTTAAACCATTAACAACTTACTTTACACTTAGTTAAACCATAAACAACTTACTTTACACTAAGTGAAACCATTAACAACTTACCTTACACTTAGTGAAACCATTAACAACTTACTTTACACTAAGGGAAACCATTAACAACTTACTTTACACTAAGTGAAACAATTAACAACTTACTTTACACTTAGTGGCCTCTTTAACCTCTTACGTTACACTTAGTGTAACCGTTTACTGTTTACTGTGCAGTTAGCGATGCAGTCATGAATTCTGTTTACACTTAATGACACCATTGCAATGTGGACAACGTTAATTTACATCTGGTGACGTTACCCATCTACTTTCACTTAGTGATTTTATTACACATTGAGGCGGCGTTAAGAATTTCACATTGAAACGTTAGTTTCGATGTATTTCTGTATTTGTTTTGTTGACTGTTGGCCCATAATAACTTACTTTACACTTAGTGACACCGTTAACAACCTACTTTACATCTAGTGACGTTAACCATTTATTTACATGTCGTGATGCCGTTAAGAATGTAATTTACATTGTGAGGCACCGTTAAGAATTCACTTTACACTTGTGTTAATTAGCAAGGGACAAGGCAAAGTTACGTAGGACCATCAATATTGTTAGGAGAAACATGACCTTTATGTTTGCTCTTCCAGCCGGAGGAGGACCTGAATGCACTGAAGATCATTTCCATAGTAGGCTGTTCCTTGTCTATCCTGGGCTGCGTGGTGACAGTACTGGCACACGCGTGTTTGTGGAGGTAGGGGGCGCTGGGTACTTTACTGCCAGTATATGGATACCATGCTCGCTGCTGCTGAAACTACTCAGATGATACGTTAAGACACATGCAATACTGTACTTGTAATGATTGCAAACCAGGATATTTTTAGTTTATAATAGACTATTGCCGAAGAATAACACACTATTGAAATCTCATATATATTCTATTTGTTTATGTTGATAAAAATGGTCATTCAGTCAAATGCTAACTTTGAGGTCGAAATATGGATGTTATATTGGTAAAAGAGAAATACACCACAATCTTCCGTTCACTAACTTAATGGAGAGCACCTATTCAGTTTTCACTCGATCTTCTGAGTGAGGTAATTCAGTTGTCCCTTCGCTCATCTAATGACAGTGTGTCGATATTCCGGATGTGTTCCGCACATACACTGTACGGGTCATATCCCGCCAGTTGTTAATATTGTTACACCAACTACATACCACCTGCTCAGACACTTATCACCTCTTCCTGTATATAGATACGTTCGCTCTTCCAAGTCCGTCATCCTGGTGAACCTATGTATCGCATTGACCTTGGCCTACATCGTCTTCCTGACTGGCGTGGAGAGAACGGAAAACAAGGTAAGGTTATAACACAAGTAGCGGTTTGTTATACAGGAATGTTTGGTCCTCCAAGTCTGCCATCCTTATGAACCTTGACCTTGGCCTACATTGTCTTCCTGGCCGGTTTAGTACAGGCCAAGGTCTCTTTTGTTTATCCATCTCATTTACAGGCTACCTTCTCGGTGAAAATATTCCAACGTGGTGCATCTAAATGCTACTGACAGAGGCCGTACAGATGGTCTCTTGCTATTGATTATAGCTCCATGTTCATCATTCGCCCTCGTCCATGTTTTCCAGGCTGCTATTGATTATAGTTACATGTTAATCATTCGCCCCCGTGCATTTTTCCAGGCCGTGTGTACAGCCGTCTCCGCCATGCTGCACTACTTTTTCCTGGCTGCTTTCTCCCTCATGTTTGCCCAAGGAGTCGACATCGCCATTCAAGTGGTGCATGTCTTCAGGGATAGTTCCAAGCAGAAGATCTTGCTGACTCTAGCATGGGGTAATCCTGACACTTTAAGCTTGCCGCGATTTCTTGTTCATCAATTTTCTTACAGCATTCGACCTAACTCAGTCGGGGTTAGAAGTGATTTTCAGTAAACCATGTCTGACGTGATTAAGGCGACTAATGGGATCGGGTGGTTAGACACATTGACTTGGTTTACACATGTCATCGTATCCCAAATGCGTAGATCATGTTGTTGAACACAGGATTGTACAGACCGCCTACATATAGCTGGTATACTGCCGCGTACGACATTAACAACAAACAAAACATTCGCAAACGCGTCGTAATTTTGGCTTATCCTAATGCTGATATACATATAGTATCAAAATAATATATATATATAATTACAAAACTCACAATGTATTTCTGTAGGCTATTCAGTTTATCAAATGGAAAAATAACAATTTCTGTTGTTAATTCTGAAACATATGTCTTTAGTTATAAAAGTATTGATAATATAAGTTTTTTTTGTAAAACCTTGTTTCACCTGTCCCAACAGGTGTGCCGGCAGTTATAGTTGGTATTACCCTGGGGGTCACCAAATTGGAGGGGTACGGAAATGACCAGTTGTAAGTTGGACTACCTTATAATTAACTGTTATTGCTGAAATCCGTTAAAGATAACAGAATATTCTCATTCATGCACGAGTTTTGTGTAGTCATTAATTCTTAGAATAAGGGTATGTTATTTACTCTTTTTCTGAGGAAAGGAACATATATGTGAAAATATATTTCGGACGGTGTTACGGATGACAATTGATGTAAATGGAATGACTTAATTACAGGAACAGTTGTTAATTATCGGAATTTCTGTTTCAGTTGCTGGCTTACGATCACCGATGGTGTGCTTTATGCGTTCGTTGGACCAGTTCTCTTTGTAATACTTGTAAGGCAAAGTTCTAACAGACCAAACAATGAAATAAACATAACGTTTTGGGTTATTGATAAAACTGAATAATTTTAGAAATATTGAAATATCTTCAGAATGATATGAAGTTGCCATTTTCCACTCAGGATGACATCTTGCAAAAAGCAAACCAGCCCCGTGCAACTGTTACATCCTCCTTCTCCTCCTCGCCATCTTCTTAATTACATCTTATTGCCATTGTCATTGTTATTTCATACAGGCCAACTCTGTAATAATCATCATCATCATGCGGGTACTGTGTTCAACAAAGCTGATGGTCACTAAGAGAAAGAGAGAGAGGGCTGTGTGAGTAACCATGTTTGAAATATTGTCCCGTTTCCAATACTATGCTGAACATATTTTATATGATATTATCTGAGGGCATGCCATTCTCCAAGAGGTACCAAATGACAGATCGTTTTTCAATTTTTGCATTTTTTAAAAGTAATACTATACCCCAATGTGTTGTGATATGTGAAATTATTAAAACCCTAATATCAACAGCACAATCTTATTCCCTTCTCACCTGTATACTCTGTGCATCTTAATCTCACACTGTGTACTCCACTCTGTAATCTCTCCTTTGGGTCAGTTCATTATGCCAGACAGGTAAATGCCGCGTGTTGTGTTAACTAATAGTAGGGGTGAGGTGAGGTGAAATTGGGTTTTACGTCGTGCTCGAGAATATTTCGCTCATATGACGACGTTGATGCGTGTGTATGTGTATGTGCGGCTGCTTGTACTAGCCCAGACTGAAGCTGGTTTTATAGTGCTAGCCCACTGAGATACCATGCAGCAGTGAAGCATGAATTCCCCATTCAGACACATTATACTGACTCCGAGCAGACCAGTCCTTGTTGTACCCATTAATGCCGAGCGCCAGGCAGGGACCAACAAGTACCATATTTTAACGTCTTTTGGTATGGCGCGGTCGGGGATCGAACCCGTGACCTTCCGCTCTCCGGGCGGACGCTCTAACCATTACACCACGGAGGCGATCAATAGTAGGGGTACTGGGATGTAGGGGTTATTGGATGTAGGGGTTTTGGGAGACAACATTTAGAATTTTATGCTCGAAGACGTATTCCAGAGTTGTACCTGTTCTGGTTAACTCCAGGTTTGTCCCATACTCATGATGCAAATAGTCGCTATATACATGAATGGTCAGACCATTTTCAAAAGGAGGTGGTGCGACATCACAAGCATTCAAGAAAATATTATGAACAAATCCCCCCGAAGATCAAGTAAGTAACCTCTTTAGCAACCCATGAATCACGGGATCCCTTGGCCAGGTATGGGTGTCATCGTATCACTGTTGTCCAGATCGATGGTTGTGATGTTGCTAATCACTGAATTGTCTGATCCATACTCGGTTATTTCCGGAAAAGCGGTCATACAGGGGTATTAATGTTTTAAAAATAAATACGTTATTCTCAACGAGTTACGATATGTTCCCATGACAATTCCCGACGACTCTAGTCTCCGATGAAATCTCGGGCTTATATGTGCCTAGGGGAAAGGGGTTTGGACCAGTGAACCGAAGAAGTCGCTGAAGGTACTGCAAATGTAGCAGGGCGTGGAATCCTCCCATACATGACATCCTTACCTTGTTAAACTCTTTGGTCATGTAGTAGTAGCACAATTTGCTTTACTGAATGGAAAATTCACTTGCACGATCAATGGACTGTTTTGACTCCTGTGAACAGTCAGAGACAACATGGCTACCCATATCACGTGACAGTCTCCCACGTTTCCTCTTTCAGAACAACCGTTCGAAGCCTTTGTGTTCTCATGCCAGTTCTCGGTGTCACATGGGTGTTTGGTGTTCTGGCAATCAACGACTACACAGTAATCTTCCAGTATCTCTTTGCAAGCTTCAATTCCCTGCAGGTAATGTTCAGTGGCTCATATTTTTACAATTTATGATCAATTAAATAATTGATTGTTGTTCAACTCCGCACTCATCAATATTCCAGCTGTATGGCAGCTGTATAATCGACTCTGGACCAGACAATCTAATGATCAACACTATGAGCATCAATTAACGCGTCAATTAACGCAATTGGGAAACGATGACATGTGTCAACAAAGCTAGTAAGACTGACCATCCGTTCCCCTTAGTCGCTTCTAACGACAAGAATGATTTGCTGAAGACCAATTCTAACTTGGATTCTTATGTTAAGAACACGTGCATTTGAAATGGACACATTTCGTAAGAGAGTCTTTGCTATCAATAAAGCTAAATAAACTCAATGAAACGCCAGTACACATTAAAATCTGTTAAAAGGGGATACTTCTTACTTTTCTTGGGGCGGTGGGGGTAACCTAGATTTTACACGTCACGTAGAAGACCCGGGTTGAGTACATGAGTACAATGTTTGAAGCCCATTTCTGGTGTCCCACGCCGTGATAACGCTCATATTGCTAAAAGCGCCGGAAAATCACACACACTAACTCACAGTTTTCTGTATCTAAAAGGTCATTTATGATAAATACGAAAGCGGTTATCATTAATTTCACATAGGAGTGTAGGTATTCATGAAATGTCTTTGCAAGTGAATGTATCTGAGTATTGAGCTGTCATTCCGGAGACAATTTGGTTGATATTGGTGTGGCGGTTTCTGTCACCATTTCTTCTGCTTTGCAAATATATATACTAATGATGGTTTAAATGCTTATATGAAAAGAAAACATGTATATGTCTTTCAGGGGTTCCTGATATTTATGATGCACTGCCTTTTCAACAGAGCTGTAAGTATGACGTATTTCAGCCAGGAACATATATCATACAGACCTTGAAACAAATATTCCAGAGATCTTGAATATGTAGCAAGTTCTGAAAAACAAGAAAGTCTCGGCCGCTTTATATTTTTTATGGAAATAATTTTATAGCCCTTTTTTCTGTTATATATGTTCATTTCAGAGACACTATGAAAGCATTGTTTTTGACGCATACATATCATGAAAGACATATGTATAGTATGAATGTATCACATATGATAAAAAAATTATGAAATATGACATATTTTTGTAATGTATCATATATGATGGATGTATGAAAAGTATCATTTGTGATATATGCATGCAAGTAACATGTATGATGCATGTATGTACGTGTGTATGTATGTATGTATGTATGTATGTATGTATGTATGTATGTATGTATGTATGTATGTATGTATGTATGTATGTATGTATGTATGTATGTATGTATGTACGTACGTACGTACGTACGTACGTATGTATGTATGATGTATGTGTGTAAGTATCACATATGATGCATGTACGTAAGTATCACATATGATGCATGTAAGTTAGTATCACATATGATGTATGTACGTAAGTATCACATATGATGTATGTACGTAAGTATCATATATGATGTATGTACGTAAGTATCATATATGATGTATGTAAATATATCAGTATGATATATGTATGTATGTATATGATGTAAAATATCATATATGATGATGTATGTACGTAAGTATCATATATGATGTATGTATGTAAAATATTATATATGATGTATGTACGTAAGTATCATATATGATGTATGTATGTAAAATATTATATATGATGTATGTACGTAAGTATCATATATGATGTATGTATGTACAATATTATATATGATGTATGTACGTAAGTATCATATATGATGTATGTGTGTAAAATATTATATATGATGTATGTACGTAAGTATCATATATGATGTATGTATGTAAAATATTATATATGATGAATGTACGTAAGTATCATATATGATGTATGTATGTAAAATATTATAAATGATGTATGTATGTAAGTATCATTTATACTGTAAGTATGTAAAGTATCATATATGATTTATGTATGTAAAGTATCATATACGATGTATGTATGTAAGTATTATATATAATGTATGTGTGTAAAAATATCAGGTATGATGTAGTTATGCTGTTCTTCAGATAATCGAAGGCATACGAAAGGCCAAAGCCCGCTATGACTCAAATAAAACAACATCCAAATCGCTTCCTGATTCGCGGAATAATTGGAAGGTAGGTCATGCATTTATTACATAAATCAGATTCTGAATATTTTCAATCGTTTACTGATTCACGCGATAAGTTGGCAGATGGGTCAAGTATTTATACATTAAGTTATTTTCTCAATATTTTAAATAAACATTTGTTGCGCAATCTATTGCTGTCATATTTTGATCATTTTTTAAGCATGAAGAAAAAAAGAAGCCTCAAGAAGATATGACAGGTAATTGGATTCTTATATTTTTCACGTTTATGAGAATAGAATCTGTTTCTCTATAGTGAGTGGGTGAATGAGTTTTACGCCGCTTTTAGCAACATCCCAGCAATATCATGGCGGTGGACACCAGAAATGGGCTTGACACGTTGTACCCATGTGGGGAATCGAACCCGGGTCTTCGGCACTCACTCACTCACACTCACATATCCAGTTATCGTTAATCTAGAACTTGAATAGACTAGCATGAGCTCCTAATCACATCAAAACTGCCAAAACGAGACGGATGGATCGGCAATGATTTTTTTCAGCTTCATATTGACATCTCAATAAGTTGGTGGGATAATCAAATATTTATTTTGTAATCCATAGTTGGAGAATAGCGGAGTGCAGGTGTTACATATAGCGTCTATTATGTTTATTCTGGAGCAGTAAGGTTTATCCGCGTTAAAGAATTTTTTTTATATGTTGTTCGACTTAACAGCGTTTCATTGTAATTATGTTGCCTTATTATTTGTGTTCAGTATAGCTGTTCAAGTTTTTAATGTTTGGTAGAGATTCCTACCGACTACGACTCCGACGACCAGTCTGATAAGGCATCGTCATCAAGGTTGGAGATGATGTTGCAAGACAATGAAGCGTGGCAGAAAGCTGCCTACAACAACGGCGCGTACCTGCCCCGCCCCAAGGTGCGACGAGAGTTAAAGAGGGTGCCAAGTCAGGTTTGTATAATTGCTGTTTTTTTAGTATAACGCCGCACTTACCAATATAAGGTTAAATGATGGCAGCCTGCGTCTGAGAGAGTGAATTTAATTTTACGCAGCTTTTATATATATCCCGGCAAGGCCACGGCGGGGAACACCATAAATGGACTTCACACGTTGTTCCCATGTGGGGATTCGAACCGAGGGATTGGCTTGGCAAGCAAACGATTTAACCCCCAGGCTACTTAACTGCCCCTAATCTAGTCTGACAAAACAATGCATTAATAGACGATAATAGATATTGTTAACAATGTCAACGCCATCGGGTTACCATGACAGAGTTGCGTCCCTTGATGTGATACCGTTACCAACCAGTGACTAGACCTGACCCTCATTGTGACACCGTTGCCCACCAATGACTAGACCGGACCCTCATTGTGACACCGTTCCCCCTTAATGACTAGACCTGACTCTCATTGTGACCCCGTTCCCCACCAATGACTAGACCTGACTCTCATTGTGACCCCGTTTCCCACCAGTGACTAGACCTGACTCTCATTGTGACACCATCCCCCACCAATGACTAGACCTGACTCTCATTGTGACCCCGTTCCCAACCAATATCTGGACCTGACTCTCATTGTGACACCGTCCCCCACCAATGACTAGACCTGACCCTCATTGTGACACCGTGCCCACCAGTGACTAGACCTGACCCTCATTGTGACACCGTCCCCCACCAATGACTAGACCGGACCCTCATTGTGACCCTGTTCCCCACCAATGACTAGACCTGACCCTCATTGTGACCCCGTTGCCCACCAGTGACTAGACCTGACTCTCATTGTGACACCATCCCCCACCAATGACTAGACCTGACTCTCATTGTGACCCCGTTCCCAACCAATGACAAGACCTGACCCTCATTGTGATACCATCCCCCACCAATGACAAAACTGGACCCTCATTATGACCCTGTTGCCCACCAATGACTAGATTTGACCCTCATTGTGTGACCGTTCCCCACCAATGACTAGACCTGACCCTCATTGTGACACCGTCCCCAACCAATGACTAGACCGGACCCTCATTGTGACACCGTTCCCCACCAATGACTAGACCTGACCCTCATTGTGACCCCGTTCCCAACCAATGACTAGACCTGACCCTCATTGTGACCCCGTTGCCCACCAGTGACTAGACCTGACTCTCATTGTGACACCATCCCCCACCAATGACTAGACCTGACCCTCATTGTGACCCTGTTCCCAACCAATGACTAGACCTGACCCTCATTGTGACCCCGTCCCCACCAGTGACTAGACCTGACTCTCATTGTGACACCATCCCCCACCAATGACTAGACCTGACTCTCATTGTGACCCTGTTCCCAACCAATGACAAGACCTGACCCTCATTGTGACACCATCCCCCACCAATGACTAGACCAGACCCTCATTGTGACACCGTTGCCCACCAATGACTAGACCGGACCCTCATTGGACCCTCATTGTGACCCCATTCCCCCAACCAATGACTAGACCTGACCCTCATTGTGACCCCATTGCCCACCAGTGACTAGACCTGACCCTCATTGACCCTGTTGTTCCCAACCAATGACTGGACCTGACTCTCATTGTGATACCATCCCCCACCAATGACAAAACTGGACCCTCATTATGACCCTGTTGCCCACCAATGACTAGACCTGACCCTCATTGTGACACCGTCCCCACCAATGACTAGACCGGACCCTCATTGTGACCCCATTCCCAACCAATGACTAGACCTGACCCTCATTGTGACCCCGTTGCCCACCAATGACTAGACCTGACTCTCATTGTGACACCATCCCCCACCAATGACTAGACCTGACTCTCATTGTGACCCCGTTCCCAACCAATGACAAGACCTGACCCTCATTGTGACACCGTCCCCCACCAATGACTAGACCAGACCCTCATTGTGACCCCGTTCCCCACCAATGACTAGACCTGACCCTCATTGTGACACCGTCCCCACCAATGACTAGACCGGACCCTCATTGTGACACCGTTCCCCACCAATGACTAGACCAAGACCCTCCTGACCCTCATTGTGACACCTCATTGTTCTCCCCACCAATGACTAGACCTGACCCTCATTGTGACACCTTCCCCACCAATGACTAGACCGGACCCTCATTGTGACACCGTTCCCCACCAATGACTATACCTGACCCTCATTGTGACCCCGTTCCCAACCAATGACTTGACCTGACCCTCATTGTGACCCCGTTGCCCACCAGTGACTAGACCTGACTCTCATTGTGACACCATCCCCCACCAATGACTAGACCTGACTCTCATTGTGACCCTGTTCCCAACCAATGACAAGACCTGACCCTCATTGTGAACCCGTCCCCCACCAATGACTAGACCAGACCCTCATTGTGACACCGTTGCCCACCAATGACTAGACCTGACCCTCATTGTGACACCGTCCCCACCAATGACTAGACCGGACCCTCATTGTGACCCCATTCCCAACCAATGACTAGACCTGACCCTCATTGTGACACCGTTGCCCACCAGTGACTAGACCTGACTCTCATTGTGACACCATCCCCCACCAATGACTAGACCTGACTCTCATTGTGACCCCGTTCCCAACCAATGACAAGACCTGACCCTCATTGTGACACCGTCCCCCACCAATGACTAGACCAGACCCTCATTGTGACCCCGTTCCCCAATGACTAGATCTGACCCTCATTGTGACACCGTCCCCCACCAATGACTAGACCGGACCCTCATTGTGACACCGTTCCCCACCAATGGCAAGACCTGATCCTCATTGTGACACCGTTCTCCACCAATCACTACACCTGACTCTCATCGTGACACCATTCTCAATTCTCTAATGATTCATATCTTTCCAGGATTATTCAGAGAGTTCCGGCGACATGGATCACTGTGTACCAGACTACCCCACAGGTCCATTGTACATGAATCCTGTTTACGTAAACTCTGACGATGAAGACGAACCATCCGTTTTGAAGATTGCCAGACCTTCATTCAAAACTCACCTATAGACAGAGGTCCCTCACAACGCTCTATGCACAACACTAAGTTGGGAGAATAACCCGATCATCATCCTTTAACATCCCTTATTTGATCGCAGACTATGGCGCATATCAAGGTTGAATATCAGTTCAGTGGTGCTCAAAGGTCAAACTTTGTGATATTTATTGTGAGCTTATTGGCCAACCTATAAACACATAGTCTCTTGTGTATAATGATGTTCACAGCCGTAGTCAATACTCAATATCCTGATGTGTTGTAAGTGATCCATAGGCAACTAGGCCATGGAGTGTTGTGCATCCCAGACCCAGACCGAGACCACCTCATCAGGAGCAAAATCGGCTCATGTATACTGAAGGACAAAAAAAGGTAACCGGCCTCTTTGATGGTGGCTAAAATGACTGACTGACTGACTGAGTTTGGTTTTACGCCGCCTTTAGCAATATTCCAGCTACATCACGGCGGGGGACACCAGAAATGGGCTTCACACATTGTACCCATGTGGGGATTCGAACCCGGGTCTTCGGCGTGACGAGTCAACGCTTTAACCACTAGGCTACCCCACAGCCCCTGGCTAAAATGAAACAAGCAAACAAATGTCGCAGGTTTAAAACACGACCATTGGGCTGGTGTTCTCACTTTTATTTTGCCATTGGGGTACGAGACGTCCCATTAACCTGTAATTAGGGAAACTACATGTGGACGACTACTACCCCTATCAGCATGGGGTGTCATACATTATAAATTAATATGACAAAGTAAAACTATCATTGTGACATTTACATGGCTATTAAATAGAAATAATCATTAAAATTCATGGTTACTAAACCATTAAACATATCTACTAGAATACAGGATTACACCTCACTTATCAGTGTGAGAAATTGTTTTAATATGAACAAGCCAGCTCATCAGTATGGCAAGCTGTTAGGGACACAATTGTCACTTCAACCTGTGACATAAAGAAGCAGTCATTTGCTGGCGATGTGTTTGATACGGAGTACACAGGCGATTACGGGCATTAGGTTTTCAATGTTTCAAGTAGTTGACGTACTTATAAGTAAATGTATTCAACTAATGGCTCTGCTTCTAACTTTTTGGCCAAATCCATTTTTCATGTGTACACTTCTTTCGCCAGCAGATTACATAAATGAGTTTTCATTGATTAACATTTCCGTGTACGGACCGTCTGAAGACAATGTAAATGTTCTTACATAAAACACCTTTGTCAATAACATTTTGTATTTAATCACATTAATAATGGGAGCAACTACTTTCAATCAAGTTCAAACTGTTCATGACTTGAGTTTCGTTGGTATTACATGAAATACAATACGATTATCTTGTGTTTTGTGCAATAACATGATATCACAATAAAGGTTTATTTTTTCCATTGTCTATTTGGAAACTCAACAACTGCATATTTTATATAATCAAATGTACAGCTTTAAACCTTGCATAAATATTTTTTTCCAGCTATTTGTTTGTGACGTATAGTAAATGAATCATTGTTCATGGTACTAATGTTATCATTTAAATAACACTTAATATATACGCACTCAGTCTAAGCTACACTGGACCCCTTTCTGAGAACGGGGCGGTGGGTTAGCCTAGTGGTTAAAGCGTTGGCACGTCATGCCGAAGTCCCGGGTTCGATTACCCGCATGGGTACAATGTGTGAAGCCCGTATTGCTGGAATATTGCTAAAAGCGGCGTAACCCATACTCACTCACTCACTTTGTAAGACCGGCCTTCACGAACTTCACGATCCATATTGACATGTATTTGTGAAGCTGTTGCCACTGAAACAGGTTATATCTGGTTGCAGACGTGTCAAGATGCAATGGATAATAGTCATAATAATATGCTGTTTCTTATTTTGAATTGTCGTGATTTATTGCAGTATAACTATTTACCTGTCAGGTGTGGAAATAGTACACTGACAAGTGTAGCATCTACAGATAATGCGTTCTGGGACGTAACATCACAAACGAAGATGATTGGGACAAGAATGTCAATATGACGCTGAGCTAACTGGTTCTGTTGCGTAATATTGTAGGTTTATATTGGTTAGGGCAAGGGTTCTGTGGCGTAGGGTTCTGTGGCATAACATCATTGCCATCATTGAGCCAAGGATGACAGCATGGCCTACAGTGAACAGGCTCTATGGTATAACATCATTGCCATCATTGAGCCAAGGATGACAGAATGGCCTACAGTGAACAGGCTCTATGGTATAACATCATTGCCATCATTGAGCCAAGGATGACATGATGGCCTACAGTGAACAGGCTCTATGGTATAACATTATTGCCATCATTGAGCCAAGGATGACAGGATGGCCTACAGTGAACAGGCTCTATGGTATAACATCATTGCCATCATTGAGCCAAGGATGACAGTATGGGCTACAGTGAACAGGCTCTATGGTATAACATCATTGTCATGGCTTAGACAAGAATATAAATGGTACCGACAACGATCGCAAGATGTCAAATCGTCACCAATATTGTTAACATGCGACAGGGTTAAGTTAAGGTATGCTGTCTTTATGTATTTTTATGTCAGTATCAATAGGACCAATATGCCAACACACAACGAGACACTGTTATCGAAAATATGTAATGTTTTATAATGTAAATATATCTATCTGAAAACAAAATAACATGGCTGTGCCTTTCATGGAAATATCTGTCGTATCAGGTCATACGATGAGATTGTTAGATGAGGAAGAAAACGTTTTCCGCCATGATGAAATCTGTTGTCTGTATATTAGATCCGGGTTGAAATCCCCACTTGGTCTGTGTACACGCTGTTATATTGCTGTTTATATTGCAGTGTAAGCCTTTACTCATTTAGGTCAGGTCGTGTGATATGTTGCGTTATTAACTAATATAAATAAAGAGGTTCCGAGTACTCAACCGCTTGAATATAGACTAACATCTAGACTCTGAAATGAACATATGTGCAGAAAATATAAATTCAGTTCCTAAATTGTATTTGTAAAATGTGATGAAAGCAATCCGGATGTTTTCTTCTTTCCCTGAAACTCAGATTAGGTGAGTGTGTCAGCCCCTCTGAATTTCATTCTGGAGTGAGTCTGTCCTGTGATACCTGCTCTTAGGACTGACATGGTCGAGAGTGAATCAAATCACTCCATTCTCAGAATCATCAACCCCTTCACAGGATCAAACACCCCCTTCTCAGGATCAAATCGTCCCCTTCTCAGGATCAAATCACTCCCTTCTCAGGATCAAATCGTCCCCTTCTCAGGATCAAATCACCCCTTCTCAGGATCAAATCACTCCCTTTTCAGGATCAAATCACTCCCTTTTCAGGATCAAATCACTCCCTTCTCAGGATCAAATCACTCCCTTTTCAGGATCAAATCATCCCCTTCTCAGGATCAAATCGTACCCTTCTCAGGATCAAATCGTACCCTTCTCAGGATCAAATCACCCCCTTCTCAGGACCAAATCACTCCCTTCTCAGGATCAAACACCCCTTCTCAGGATCAAACAGCCCCTTCTCAGAGTCAAATAACTCCCTACTGAGGCTCAAATCACACCATTTCTCAGGATCCTCACCCTCTTCTCAGCATCAAATCACCCCTTCTCAGTATCACCAGTCCTTCTCAGGATCAAACTCCCCCTTCTCAGGATCAAATCATCAAATTCTCAGGATCAAACCCCCTCCTCGGGATCAAACCACACCGTTCTCAGGATCAAATCACACCCTTTGTCGGGATATCACCCACTTCTCAGGAAGAAATCACCTCTGCTTAGGAACAAATAACTATATTCTCAGGATCAAATCAATTAGTCAGGACTTATAGAAGTAGACACACACAGACGCACACACACACGCGTACGCTCGAATACACACGTGCACGCGACATAATCCCCTTTAACCTCAAATACATTCAACAACACGGTACCAAACAAAGAACAAAGACTTGAAACACCGGTGACAGAAGGATGGTCAACCGAGAGTGTCTGAAGCCAATGAAAATAGCTTACCCTTTAAACTAGATAAAATGAGACGAAACATATTGGTGTGAAAACGAACGCTGTGCTCGAAAGACTGCGCTGGTTCGAAATGTAAACAAACCTATTTTACACTGTGTAGCATTTTCTGAAATTTTCCAACATTCATCCGTCTATTCATTGCTTGCAATGGCTCAATACCTTTGAATATGCATGGAAAGACTATCGTAGCAAGAAATAGGAAATTATAAATAGATACAATGCAATGATTTGATAATTCATAAAAAATTGTCAAAGTTTCCGTGCAGCGTGACGCCATGACTGACGCAAAATCACGCAGAACGACAACGGTAATTATCTGCATTTCTGGCTTTTTCTCTTACTTATAGTGAAAACGATAAAAACATATAACAATACACAGATAGTCAGAATCATTCTGATTACTTACATGTCATATTTATGGACAAACGATCCCTGAATCAATAGAAGGGTCCTTGCAAAATCCTGTGTACCCTTGTCAGCAAAGCCGCCATTTTGTAAGAAATCGGTCAGCGGTAGTGATGTCATACGTCAACATTGTTGTACATATTAGGCAATTTCTTTGAGGTGAAGGTCGGTTGAACAAGAGTAAACACAATCGCCCAATCCTTCCGATTACACTGTCAGTATTATGGTGTATTTTTGCGTATAGTTCAGATACTTTTTCATGAAACTGACTTCAGTATCCACATTTAGCCTTGTTCAATATCATATCATACGCGCGTATAGGGTTTACGGTGTTTTATTTCTTTGAAAGTTTTGATTGTTTGCATCATATTTACATAAGAAATTGACATATTTAGTGCAATACACCATATTCTAAACCTTTACACAAGTGTTAGACGATCAAACGTAGCCATAATTGCAACTACTTTAGTTCCTATTCAATTTATTTGGACTAATATTGCAATTTCATATGAACTGGTTAATGAACGGTGATTTAATTCAACCTTATATGTAAAACTGATAATATTAATGAAAATGATTTATATATGGTATGAAATGTATATGCACACATATTTAAAGGAATTGTCTTGTTCATTGCATAAATTTGTGTCGTTTTATAGACAAAAGAATAATGCATATTGATTGGCCAGGTGCGCGTTTGTTGGAAACGTTTTATGATTCTCTATCATTGTTTTCGATAATATAATCAATTCATATTCGATTAAATAATATTGCGATGACAGGATATCAAACTCTAACTACATTTATAGGAAAATTGTTGAATATATATATACCATCTCATATACCATCTGTGTTAATTCGGACAAATCTTACATCCATATTCTAATATATAGTTCCATATATAAAAGCTATCTTTTGCATCTTCATTGCATACGTATGAAGAGAAATAGCTACATAATCATAAACAAACAAATTTCTCATCCCAAACAAAATATTCGGGTGTTGAGAAATATTATTTTTATTTATGTTAAGTTGATGCCAAACAGGTGCGCGTAAGTTGTTCACAATAAGATACACTGTCAAACCGTCTAATTGATGATATATTCAGGACACTATTTAAATGGAAAAATCAGTCATTTTATGTTTTGTTTATAGAGTGTTAAATTCTGACGTAGAAGCCGAGACCTTTTATACAATTAATGGAAATTAGGTGAGATATATATGCTAATCAGCATACCAATGTCGTCCTTTTCCGACGTCGCAAAATGCATAAAACAAGCAATGACGTCAACTAAAAATGTTGTGATATTTTCAGCAATTTCCTTACATTTGAAGATATGGCTCGTAATCTGGTAATAACAATGCAAAATTAGTCAAATTACATCTACACAAACAGGAGAATATGGGAATCTAAGAACTAACTTATATATCGGATAGGGCCTTCCAAATCGCTATTACGTGCTTTCACATGTAAGACGTTGTCATTTTTCTTGTAAATTGTGAAACTACCAAACTGCATCCGCTCACATTGGGGAACTTTGAACTGTAATAGTTTGGTTCACCATAAACATAAAATAACGAAAATATAGCGTCCGTATCCACAACAAATTCTCTCAATTGACCTGAGTTACATTGACCTAGTGTTACGAATAACGGAGTTATGCCCCCTTATCATTATATCGTGTATGACCTCTCTCGTCGTCGTTTGACGTCATAGAAGAAAATCCATTTTGACACTTATTGTGAGTCATTTTTAATGTTGAGCGTATAACGTTATGCACAAGCAAATAAACCCAATTCATATACACTTATGTCGTTCAGATATCAGGCTGTATTTTCTTCGCTCACACTTTCCGTAAAGATGCCACATTAATAAATTCGTAGCACAGTGCTTTTATCGGTGCGCGATAAAAGCGGATAAATTTACTGTTTTTAACGCATAACAAACATTTGGACAACATTTAGCAGTGTCTATTTCTCAAACTGCCAAGGTAGTTGCACTTATATTTATACCAACGGATAGGAAATTTAATATTCTACATTTCTGTGTAATTTCATAGCCGTACGTAGATCCAGGACCACGCGAGCGCAATTCTCGCACAACGTGTGTTCTAGCTAGCCGTGATGATGTATAAGATTACAACTCTAAATCATTTCCCTGCTGCATCTAGCGTGTGACAGAGGGCTTGACTGACACTCTGAGTTTCACTAAACACGCTATGCAGTTTATGGATGGCAGATTTGAATTACAACGTCCATTTTGAACAGATTACACCAGAAAAGTACCAAACTCGCACACACGGTAAGAAAAAATTCCTTAAAGAATGAGGCACTTTTTATTGATATACAACCTCTTTATTCTATATAGGCGACGTTTCGACTTAGATTCTAATGTCGTCCCGGAAGTGGTCTCCTAAACACAATAAAGAAGTTATATATCCATAAAAGTTGTCCTCATTCTTCATCTACTCAACTTCTAGAATGTCATGTACCAACTAGGATGTTCCAAAAGCGTTTGGTGTAGGGTTTGCCTGCTTGTTTGTTGTTGAACGCCTCACTCAGCAATATTACAGCTACATGGCGGCGGTCTGTAAATAATCGAGTCTGGTCCAGACAGTCCAGTGATCAACAACATCTACGCAGTTGGCATACGTTGACGTTTTAGCGAGCCTGACCACCCGAAGTTTGCTACCCGTTAGTCGCCTCGTACGACAAGCATTGGTTGCTGTGGACAAATTCTAACCCAGATCTTCACGGGTCTGGGGGCAAAGGAAAATCGTAGGGTACAGTAACTTTGAGACAGACCAGTTGTGAAGACGTATCTTCGGAGGTCGGGAACTGTCATCTTGTGTTTGGTCTGGCGACCTGTTCCAACATGTATAGCTGTTTGCATGTTCCTTGCTGGTCTGTCTGCAGGTTTACCTGGCATAAATCCTTCGCAAAACACCACATATATTTTGTAGGCTTAATGTTTTGGGGAATAGTGGAACTAATACGTAGGATGATTATCACCAATCTTTATTTATTTTCTTATTGTAATTGTAATGTAGGCCATAGGCCCATAATTACAACAAAGGTTACAGTTTTTCCCTTGGGGAATGTACAACAGATAACCAGAGATGACATGTACAATCAGGAGGGTGCGGAACGTTTTACATTTGCATAGTAATCATACATAGCAGTATTTCTTATAACTTCAGTATTTGCTGATAACATATTAAATTTATGTAAAGATGGATACTTGTAAAACATTTCTGCAATATATCTAATCCTTAAGTCAGTATAATAATCACACACTAATAAAAAATGGTATTCATTTTCAACACATTGTCTGTTACAATATTCACAAATTCTCTTATCAGGCTGCCCTTTATTGTATCTACCAATTTCAATCCTTAGGTTATGAGATCCACATCTAAGTCAAATTGCCATAGTTATCCCAAACTTGTTTATTTGTACACAACTTAGATACAATGCTCGCCCGAAACTAGGCTTAAAAAGAGTATATAAGTTTGTTTTATGACTTTCACATATAAAAGAGTGCCAATTTTGCTCATAGCAAAATTTTAATCTAGAATCAAACTCTGAAAAGAACTTTTGTCTGTTACTAATAGAATACTGTTCCCAAATGTATCCAAATTCTAAAGAATAAATCAGATGTTTAACATTAGATGCTGAATTTACTTTACCAGCATCTGCTAATTTTAATTATAACATGTCATATGCGAACTTTACATATCTATTTTTGTTGCAGAGATATGATTCGTACCCAGAATTTAATGATTCTTTTATGAATAAGGATGTTTAAGGGGTAACGTCCACATTCCCCATATACAACATGATTTGGGGAATTCCTTTTTATACCTAATAAACGTTTACTTACTTCTAGATGAACAGCTTCAATCTCCTTTATGTTACCAAAGCCCCACACTGCCGACCCATGCAGCAATCCGTCCACCACATTTGTATTATGTAACGGATGCTCGTGCATCCTGAGCTGCATGTATAGCCGAGATAAAGTGCTTGCCGTAAGAGGCGACTGACGGGATCGGGTTGTCAGGCTTGCTGACTCGGTTGACACATGTCATCGGTTCCCAATTGCGCAGATCGATGCTCGTGCTGTTGTTCACTGGATTGTCTGGTCCAGACTCGATTATTTACAGACCGCCGCTATATAGCTGGAATATTGCTGAGTGCGGCGTAAAACTAAACTCACTCACTAAAGATGAAGTTGACATTCTTCAGGCAGAGTTCGGAACCTACGACATCATATGTCTTACTGAGACATGGTTACATGATGGTATAAGTAGTAATGATATTTTAATTCCGGGTTTCCATTCACCTCTCAGAAATGATAGATAGAGCAGGGGCGGGGATGTCGCGGTGTATGTAAAAAGTAAAATGAGTTCTGAATATATGGAGAATTTAACTATAGCCGGGCTTAAGGCGATGTGGATAAAAAAAGTGTAAAAAACGGAATTATCTTATAGGAACGTTCTACCTGGCAGACAAAACAGAAGCGCGCTTACTGGCATTTAATAGAAGATTCTATCAATAACGCTGCTGATCTTAATATGGACACAATTGTAGTTGGTGACTTTAATATTGATCTTCTCACGGACACAAGTTATAAAATTAATCAATTACAACTGTTATTTGGACTAACACAACTTAAACCTGAACCTACAAGGATTACACCTAGTTCTAGTACATTAATTGATCTTATTTGTGTTTCAAGCGTTAGCGCCGTACTAGAGTCGGGGTTGTCTAGATCCAGTGTATAGTGATCATTGCCCTGTATATGCCATTATCAAAGAGTCGATTGCAAACTCGATTAATTACAAGAGAAAAATATATAATTATACTCTAGCTGATTTTGACGGAATTAAAATTGTCTTGTGTACTCTGGATTGGCATGATATCTTTGCCTCTGAAAATATTAACCGTATCACAAGCGACTTGACTGGTGCAATTCTTGAATTATGCGATAGATATATTCCCAATAAAGTCGTTACGATAAGGCCCCGAGATGCCCCTTGGATGAATAGTGAAGTACGTAAACTGATTCGTAAACGGAATCGCCATCATAAAATCGCAAAAAGGCGTAATTTATCATCTGACTGGGCACTTTTTAAATTGAGTAGAAATAGAGTTATATCCTCGGTAAGAAATGCAAAGAAAATGTGCATGGATATAATTGATGAACAAATAAACAATGAACATGGTACCAAAACATGGTGGCCTTTACTTAAGAAATATATAAAAAGTAAACATATACCACCACCATTAACAGTTTTCCTTCGATAATCCATAACGGTGAACTATATGATGATAGTGCAGAAACAGCAAATAATATGAATGATTTCTTTGCAGATCAGGCTAGAGTAGCTGCTCCTAATAGAGATATTTCTGGAATTCGTTGAGAGGTAGATAATCCATTATGTGACGTAACACTTAGTCCGCAGGAAATCCATGATACTCTCTCCTCTGTTGATATCACTAAAGCAACTTGCCCAGATGGTATTGGTAATAAATGTCTGAGAATGAATGCAAGACAATTAGCACTTCCCTTATCTGAAGTTTTTAATTTATCATTAAAGAATAAAGTGTTTCTTGATATCTGGAAGGAGGCATCAGTTGTTATTATACACAAAAAAGGCAGTATAAATGAATGCTCTAATTATCGACCAGTCGCACTAACAAGCTGTGCAGCAAAGATATTCGAAAAATGCATCTTTAAACATGTATTTTATCATTTTAGGGATGATGTTATGCCAGGCGATTCAACAGCAAATGAATTAACGTACCTGTATGACTTTATATCGGGTGCATTAGATAGCGGTTAGGAAATTAGGGCTGTATTTTGTGACGTAAGTAAGGCTTTTGACAAGGTCTGGCATAAAGGTATTATACATAAGCTAAGACGTTATGGTATCGGGGGTAACTTGTTGAAATGGTTTGAGAGTTATCTAGACAATAGAGTTCAGCGAGTCGTTAGAACCCTTTACACGTCTGATCAAAGATCGATCTTAGCCGGGGTTCCCCATGGCTCTATCTTAGGACTTCTATTGTTTATAGTTTATATCAACGACATCGTTAAAGGAATTAACAGCAATATCCGTCTCTTCGCAGATGACACATCACTTTATGCTATAACAGATGATCCTGATGAAACTGCTCTGTATCTTAATAATGATCTAGGTAAAATTTCTGATTGGGCTGACAAATGGCAAGTTACATTTAATCCTAATAAAACAGATACTATACAATTTTATCGTAAAGTACAGCCCAGCCCAAAACGAAATTTAACAATGAAGGATGGTAATATTAATGACGTTAATAGCCATAAACATTTGGGACTTACTTTACAGCACGATTGTTCCTGGACATGCCATGTTAACTGTATCCCTAAAAAAGGCTGCACCCATGGTAAATTGTCTTAGAGGTTTTAAATATCGTCTCTCACGTCAAACTTTACAAACAATGTACAAACAATTCATTTTGCCTATTTTTGACTATTGTTGTCACATTTGGGACAATTGTACCAAACAGCAAGCACTAACACTTGAAACACTGTTCGCGGTACGAGTCTTAATAAATTTATGATGAGACAAATTTCCAAGCACTTTGTACTCGAAGACACATCCCAAAACTAACATTTTGTTATAAAATCGTTAATAATTTAACTCCAAAACATCTGAGCAATCTCGCACCTCCTAAGGTATCTGACACTACAAACTACAATTTCCGAGACCGTTTGAAAGTTGTAAAAGTGCAAATTATGCCAAGTCATTTCTCCTAGATACAGTAAAATTGCGGAATTTTTTGGCTACAGATCACAGAGAATCGTCTACCTTGGGTAGTGTTAAGAAACAGATTAATATGTCAAATAATGATAGTCACAACTACTTAGAAACGCACATAATTATGAAGGATTTATATCTTCAAATCCCACTTGTTCTTGTGGCTACATTTACGAGGATCCAATTCACGATTTCTTTTCGTGCGTTAATTACACCGACATAAGAAATATAATGCACTTCTACGCTAAAGGATATCAAACTTCAAATCAATACTATACGGCCACTCTAACGGATCTACTAAAGACAATCTTGAAATATTAGAGTCTATCCATTCTTTCATTCTATTGCCAGGTAGATTTGTGTTGTAAGTATCAAAGACGATATTGCACTAACTATTACTTTCCGACACTAATTGTTCTAATGTTATAATCAGCCATATTTACAGTTATCGGTTGTTAGATTTCCAGAAAGCTGTTGTTTGTTTGTTAATAGCATGCTT